GAGGGACTTGACTGAATCACAGTCGAAGGATGCGCCCGAGTCTCCGGTCCCGACGCCAAGATCTGAGACGCCGCTGCCATCTGAAAAGGGCGCGGAAACCAAGTGATTCGGTGCAGGGGATGGGGTCGGACGTATATTACTAATATTATGATGAGACGCTGTCGGGAGTACGACTGGTATGGATGGTGTTGTTATAGAGTGCTGGCCTTAATGATAGATTGGCATGGTGGGAGTGTAGATGGATGGAGGGCCCTGGATATGAGCCATGGGTATAATTAGGATAGCGAGGTTAGGATAGAGCGGGGCTCCTTTTAGGATTGTTGAGCATAGGGGATTGGTGTCAATATACCTATGTTTTCTTTGAGATATTCGTTTTAGGTCGCGACTTCGTTTGTGGTGACGGCAGTGTTGGTTTGTTGTCTGGAGCGAGCGGGTGCTTAGTAAATCAATAGCCCTATGGGAATTATTGTAGCTCCGAGGCTGTAAGACACCCCTTTGATATTAGATTCTATATTAGCTTCGATATTAGCTTCTATATCAGCTTCTATGTCCTGTATAACCTCAAATAAGCTCCAAGAACCATATATTTAAGAGTGTGGACCCTGACACACTGACGAACTGTTGGTCGAGGCTGTGGCAAGGGAGTCCAAGGAGGTCCAAGGGATCGGTTGTTGCCTTAGGACGTCATGCATCCCACCCCAACAATCCAACCAATCACCTGACCCTGCTCCTTCGCCCGCAACGGAGGCAAATGGCATAAAAGGTTGGTAAGGCCCCGACCTTCCAAGCACCTTTCAGAAGTACGGAAGCGGCCGCACGAGCATGGTATCTGCCTGAGCAACCACTACGAACCACTACGAACCACTACCGCCATTTTAATTCACAGAACGACCCACAGAGTGACGTGCATCTGTCTCTTCTATTAAACTCAGCTTTGCACAACAAAGAAATCCAGAGAGGACAAGGACAACAAGATCGCCATTGTTATTGATTGGTTACTTTGAGGATATTGGGCATGGTTGGACTAATGGCCATTTGTTGAAGTTGCGCTTCATATACGATTCGAGAGAGAGAGACCCCGAATTACCCCCCACGTCCCAGGTCAAAGAGCTTACACTCTAGGGCCAAGACATTATCAGTGAGTTATCGCCCTCCATTGTCGCACCTGGTTATGCATCGCGAAGCTTTCTAGAGCTTCTAGAATACTTCGATGCATACCTGTGTGAATCGCCGCTGAGGCCGAAAGTGTGCACAGCTAACCACGCGCCCTCTCCCGACTAGGCCCCCCATCTGAGCAATAATCCCACATGCTTTCGCCGACAGCTCCAAGCCAACGGAGGAAACAAAAATGGGAAAACCGCTCAGCCTAGGGAAGAAACTGAAGTACCCCATCACTGTCAACAAGCTTCTCAAATCCCCCGGCGACTCGTTCGCCAAGGGCGACGCCATCTTCGAGTACAGCTTCAAATGGAAGAAGGAGGTCGGAGACGCGTTTGGTGACAAATGGGAGGAGGAGATTACGACGATTGTCAGCTTCGCCAGCACGGCGGATGGGAAGCTACTACGATGGCAGATCAGACCGGGCATGGTCATCAATAGTGACCAGTCCTGCGCGGAGATCGATGAGACTTGCTCGCATGCCGTTCAGTACGCGGGTCTCTGCGCGCTGTGTGGGAAGGATATGAACGAGACTTCGTGGGCTACGGATACGGTCGACGCGCAGCGGGCGCAAATCAACATGATTCACGACCAGACGCTGTTGTCGGTGAGCCAGGACGAAGCATCGCGGGCGGAAGAGCAGTTGCAGCGACGACTGCTGAAGAACAGGAAGCTGTCGCTGGTGGTTGATTTGGATCAGACGATCATCCACGCCTGTATCGAGCCCACGATTGGCGAATGGCAGCGCGACCCGACATCCCCGAACTACGAAGCTGTTAAGGATGTCAAATCTTTCCAGCTTCATGATGATGGACCTCGTGGACTGGCGTCGGGATGCTGGTATTATATCAAGATGCGCCCGGGTCTGGCACACTTCCTCGCCACCATTGCGGAAAAATACGAGTTACACGTTTATACCATGGGAACGAGGGCGTATGCGCAGGAAATCGCGAAGATTGTTGATCCTGAGCATAAGCTCTTCGGTGATCGAATCATCAGCAGAGACGAGAATGGGAGTTTGACGGCGAAGACGCTTTCAAGACTGTTCCCGGTGGACACGAAGATGGTGGTGATCATAGATGATCGAGCGGACGTATGGCCGCGGAATCGATCGAATCTTATCAAGGTCGTCCCATACGACTTCTTCATCGGCATCGGAGACATCAACTCGAGCTTCCTGCCCAAACGGGAGGAAACACCAAAGGTCGTCCCAGCGCCGCCACCGATCGCACCAATGCCCGACACGGAGGAACCCACGGAAACTGAAGAAGAAGGCGCTGCCGAGGGCGAGGCCCGGGTTAAACGCGAGGTGCTGAAATCGAAAGCAACATCCACCAACATCACCGAAAGCATGAGCGCTCTGGAAGAACTCGTCGCTATGGGAGGTGGGGATGACCCGACCGTCCGCGAGATCCAAGCCCAGGAACAGGCCGAGTTTTTGGAGAAACAACTAAAGGAACGGCCGCTACTGCATATGCAACAGCAACTCGACAAAGAAGATAATGCCGAGGGCGAAGAGTCCGCCAATGGAACTGCCGATGAATCGGAACATACGGATGATTCTGCGTACAATCACCATCGACACCATCTGCTGAAGGATGATGATAATGAGCTTGCATATCTTGAGAACCATCTTCTTGGTCTGCATAGGACGTTCTATGAGCAATACGATAAAGCATTGATTAACGCCAAGGGAGACCGTGTGGCTCACCTTCGGCCTGGAGCGACAAAGAAGGTTCACATGAAAGACGAAGCAGCTGACCTCCAAATCGTCCCTGACATTGGGGAAGTAATGCCGCAAATCAAGTAAGTTTTGTCTTTCCAACACTGTCTTTAATGAAACCTATACTTACAAATGCAAAGATCGAACAGTCTACGCGGCACAAGCATAGTGCTGTCTGGCCTAGTGCCATTGGGCGTTGATGTATTGAGGTATTTACGAACATTTATTAAAAGACTTAAGGAGGATTTATTTTTGGCGTTTGATATTATTAGGTACAAGTACATGGCTAAACAGTTGAAACGCAGGTCCGAAATAGCGATACAGTCGATGAGCTTTGGTGCACAGATCCACACTAAGTATGCTTATTCCCGTCCGAGTTTTGAAGGTACGGTTTGCTAATGATCATATAGGATATCGCGCAAAGTTACACACCTTGTCGTTGCGGCGAATCGCACTCGGACACAGAAGGTTCGCCAGGCTACTAGCTATCCTCATATTAAGATTGTGAATCAGCAGTGGCTAGTCGACTCAATGAGTAGATGGGAGAGGGTTGATGAGACACCGTACTTGGTATGTAGACCCCGCCCAGTCCAGAACGAACCCTTTGTTCCAAAAAACGCCACATTTGCCACGCCTCAAAGAAGAACTCGTAAGACTAACAACAAAAACAGATAAACATCCATCGCGAAGACAAATCTACCCAGCCAGAACTATTTTCCGACGGCCGAAGCCTCGACGATAGCAGCGGCGACGACTCTGGGGGAGAAGGCCATTCTAGCCACGACGACGCCGATATGCCCGACGACTTTGAGGACGGGCAATCCCCCATCGAGGGCCTCAAAGACGTAGACTGGAGCGGCGTCGACGCCGAACTCGAGGAATTCATGGCAAGCGGCAGCGAGAGTGACAGCGAGAGCGTCGCGAGCAGTACGTCCCCCCATTCCCCAACCGAACCCCCCTCAAAACCACCCTCCTAACACCCCACAGATACAAGCGACCGCAGCCAACAAAGCACCATCAGCATCCGCCGCAAACGCAAACTCGCCGCCTCCAAAGACGGCGAAGAAACCGACGAAGAGAGCAACATCTCCAAAAAGCAGCGTCTAGCACGCAACCGCACCACCGGGCTCAAGACCGTCAAAACGCCCAACTCGGCGTCGGGGTCCAGCCTACCGACGCCGGAGAAGACGGCCGCGGAGGATGGGGATGAGATGCTTCAGCCGGATACGCAGGATGAGGAGGAGTTTGATAATGATCTTGAGGCGGAGATGATGGCGGAGTTTGAGAAGGGGGGGTGGGATAGTGGGGAGGAGGGGGGTGGGGATGGTGGTGGTGGTGGTGGGGGAGGGGGCTAGATGGGAGGGATTCATGATATGATCTGTCTTTCTTGTTTTGAGCGTGGCTTGAGCATGTACGGGATGGGGGTGGTGGTGCATTTGGAGGCGTTATTGGGAGGGGGGTTGCGAGTCTGGCGCTCTTTGATGGGGGGGGGTTGGTTGTAGGGTATATCTGTCCAGGAGGTAGGGTTTGAGTATGCACGATCGGTGGTGAGAGGGAGTTCTAGATACCTTAGCCACTCAATATGCAACGAAATGATACTTTGGACGGAAACTGTTACGTTCTTCTTATTACTCGTGCTACCTCAAAATCCAAACAGAGACGATACATTACACCAATGTCCACAGTAACTATGATTGAAATAAATACTCGATTACACAAGGCTATAACTGTGAGACAGACTGAAAGAGAGAAATCCCATCACCCTCAATTGTTAATGCCAATCCCCCAAGCCAAGATAAACACACAAAGGGGATATGGTTTAGTGGTATAACGCTTCTTTAGCATAGAAGAGGTCCGGCGTTCGATTCGCCGTTTCTCCAGTGTTTGATTGCTTCGGCATTTCTTTTTTGACTTTTTTTCTGGGAGCGGAGCTGTGGATACGCCAGTCTAATATCGATTGTGGGCGCCGCCGCGGTTCCCTTTTTTTCTCGCAGCCCCTCTTTGGACCTTTTTGGGGTTGGTGGAGGAGAATCTGGAATATATTGCACGTGATCATTTTTGCTTAATTGAAGGCGGTGGCAGAATCGCGTAGATTCGCGCATCGCGTCCACCGGTCCACCGCTTTTGGAGATCGTTAAACTGGTAATTGACGAAAGTGCTCCTGACCTGACCCGCATTGCTATTAGAACGAAACAACAAAGGATTCGTCGTATGGGCCATTTTAAAACCCGGAAAAGAATTAATTCACTTTTGCCATTGCAGCAATTATGTCGAATCGCCCTGAGTTAAAGGTTAGCCCACTCACTCACCACTTAACCTAGTTAAACCCAGCTCATCCATGCTAACATCCTCCCCCTTCCCCAGGTTGACGACGAGCAAGGCTTCATCAAGTTCTTCAAATCCCTCCCCACCGAAGGCAGCGAGACGATCCGCATCTTCAACCGCGGCGACTACTACACCGCCCACGGCGAAGATGCCTCCTTCATCGCCCGCACCGTCTACAAGACGACCTCCGTCCTGCGCCAGCTCGGCCGCAACGACCACACCGGCCTTCCCTCCGTCACCATGACCGTGACTGTCTTCCGAAACTTCCTGCGCGAGGCGCTGTTCCGGCTGGGGAAGAGGATAGAGGTCTGGGAGAGCACGGGGCGCATGCAGTGGAAGGTTGGGAAGCAGGCGTCGCCGGGGAATCTTCAGGATATTGAGGATGAGCTGGGTGGACAGATTGATGCTGCGCCTATTATGCTGGCTGTTAAGGTGTCGGCTAAGGCTTCGGAGGCAAGGAATGTGGGCGTTTGCTTCGCTGACGCTAGTGTGCGAGAGTTGGGTGTGAGCGAGTTTCTCGATAACGACCTGTACTCGAATCTCGAGTCGCTCCTCATCCAACTGGGTGTCAAGGAGTGTTTGATTCAAGTCGATAAGTCGAATAAGGATATTGAGATTTCGAAACTGAAGGCGATTATTGATAGCTGTGGGATTGCGGTCTCAGAACGCCCAATTACGGATTTTGGAACGAAAGATATCGAGCAAGACCTGGCACGCATTTTGAAAGACGAAGCGGCGTCGGGAGCGTTACCACAGACGGACTTGAAACTAGCTATGGGGTCTGCGGCGGCGCTGATCAAATACCTTGGAATCTTACACGACCCGTCAAATTTTGGTCAATACCAGCTCTATCAACACGACCTGGCACAATTCATGAAGCTGGACTCCTCAGCCCTAAAGGCTTTGAACCTCATGCCTGGCCCAAGAGATGGCTCGAAGACAATGAGTCTCTTTGGGCTCCTGAACAACTGCAAGACTGCGGTTGGCACTAGGCTTCTGGCGCAGTGGCTAAAACAACCGCTTATGAGCAAGGATGAGATCGAGAGGAGACAGATGCTAGTAGAAAGCTTTGTTGAGGACACCGAGCTGCGACAGACAATGCAGGAAGAACATCTCCGTTCGATACCCGACTTGTATAGGCTAGCGAAGCGGTTCCAGAAGAAAATGGCCAACCTGGAGGATGTAGTAAGAGCATATCAGGTTGTTATTAGGCTACCTGGCTTTATCGGAACTTTGGAAGGAGTTATGGACGACAAGTACAAGGATATCCTTGACGACGCATATACTCTTAAGATCAGAGAATATTCGGAGAGCCTCTCCAAGTTACAGGAGATGGTTGAAACGACGGTGGACTTAGACGCCATGGATCGCCACGAGTTCATCATCAAGCCAGAGTTTGACGATAGCCTCCGCATCATCCGAAAGAATCTTGATAAGCTAAAGTATGATATGGAGAAAGAGTCTCAAAGTGTATCAGACGATCTCGATCAGGAACTCGACAAGAAGCTATTCTTGGAAAACCACAGGACACACGGCTGGTGCCTGCGGTTGACAAGGACAGAGGCAGCTTGTATCCGCAACAAAAAGCGGTACTTGGAATGCTCGACGCAGAAGAACGGCGTCTACTTCACAACGAATGCGTTACAGAGCATGAGGCGGGAGCATGATCAGCTTTCGGAGAATTATAACCGCACCCAAAGCAGCTTGGTTAACGAGGTTGTCAGCGTCGCTGCATCCTACTGTCCTGTTATTGAGCTGTTGGCTGGCGTTCTTGCGCACTTAGATGTGATTGTCAGCTTCGCTCACGTTTCCGTTCACGCTCCTACGGCCTACACAAAGCCCAAGATGCATGAACGAGGAACTGGCGATACTATACTCAAGGAGGCCCGCCATCCATGTATGGAGATGCAAGATGATATCCAGTTCATAACAAACGATGTCTCGCTGATCCGCAAAAAGTCCGAGTTTTTAATCATCACCGGTCCGAATATGGGCGGTAAGTCGACCTATATCCGCCAGATCGGCGTTATCGCACTGATGGCTCAAATCGGCTGCTTTGTTCCCTGCACAACAGCAGAATTGACCATTTTCGACTGCATCCTCGCTCGTGTCGGTGCCAGCGATTCTCAGCTCAAGGGCGTGTCGACCTTCATGGCCGAGATGTTGGAGACTGCCAATATCCTGAAGTCCGCAACCTCCGAATCACTCATTATAATAGACGAGCTCGGCCGCGGAACAAGCACGTATGATGGATTTGGCCTCGCCTGGGCTATTTCAGAGCACATCGTCAAGGAAATCGGCGCGTTCAGCATGTTTGCGACTCACTTCCACGAATTGACGGCACTCGCAGACGAGTTCCCACAGGTCTCTAACTTGCACGTTGTTGCTCATATTGGTGACGGCCCGCAATCAGATGGCAAGGGCGACAAACGGGAAGTTACCCTCCTATACAAGGTGGAAGACGGAGTCTGCGACCAAAGTTTTGGTATCCATGTCGCGGAGCTCGTTCGATTCCCGGAGAAGGTCGTGAATATGGCGAAGCGGAAGGCAGATGAGTTAGAGGACTTTACTGGCAAGCATGAAAATGACGCGGTGAAGGTTAAGAGGGAGGATGTGGAAGATGGAAGTACCATGCTGAAAGAGCTTCTGAAGACTTGGAAGAGCCAGTGCGAGAGTGAAGGCTTGAAGGGGGATGATATGGTGGCTAGGATGAAGGAGTTGGTTATGGCGGATAAAAAGCTGCTCGACAGCCCATTCTTCCAGAGTGTGAAGGCTCTATGAGTGTGAGGGACACGGTGTTTGGAGTTGTGAAATATAGCTGAGTAGGGGATATATCATACGATCATGTTGGCTTATGGAATGCTAGACTTGTACAATTTAATTCATTAACTTGGCTTATGCGAAGGTTATTGATGGGGCAAGGTAGACAAATAATGAAATTTGTTTTGGGACCGATTCATCCAAGGGGAAGGAACGACTGAGAAAATTATCCGTGAACGATATCGGTCACACCTTCCAGTTGAGTATAAAGGCCTGAGTCGTGAGAAGCAGAACAATAAAAAGACTAGTACCATTTATTTGTCTTTCGAACCGATCTCTATTCTACCTACAACTAAATATTCATTATCATTTATCCCTATAACATCCATGAGAGCTTCTCTCTTCACTTTTGTGGCTAGTCATTGGATATTGCAGAATGAGTCGACATAATGAGAATGAAAGCAGGATATTCGTCGCAAACAGCCCGACGATAGCAGAAACCCCAACTGGCGACGACACGATAACAAGGAGTAGAAACCAGGAATCGCGCCGAAGCACACAAACCTCAGATCAGGACTCCCCACTTTATATCTCCCCAAAGAAAGCTCGGCGACGACAACAACGCCAGTCATTATCTGCAATCAGTAACAAGTCTATAATAACCAATGACGACGCTGAGATACACTCTAGAGTTGCAAATAGGCTCAATCGAGAGAAGCTCGCATGGGAAACCATAAACTCTGAGATTCTAGAATGGCAAACTGTCTGCCGAACTGGTCGGCCAAGCTGGTGGTCCCCGACATCAAGATGGACGAGTCAAAGAAGGGTTCGATCGAGAACGAGTAGAGATGTGGCGGACATGGGGACAGCTGATTTTGGTGACAACTGGCCTGCTCCAACCCAACGATTTCAACAGCAAAAGCACATGAAAGGCACTTCAGACACCCAAGAACAGGCATTTATTACGGCGGTCCAGCTTTTGAGCGTCAGCTTTACGTTGCCTGTAGAGCAATTCGAGAATTCTAAGAGCTCAACAAACTTGTACTTCGCCACAGCTTCTGATGGCGTGCCAGACGCTCGGCTGATCAGCTCTCTGCGGATGCACACAGACTATCGATGGTCCCCAGCATTTGGTCATGAAGCAAGGAGTACCTCGCCTGAATATCTCTTCAAAGCAACCCACGGTGGAGAACAGCCATTAGCAGGACTTGGAGATGCGCCAGTGTCTCTCGATCTGAGCTATTCGGGAAGAAGTCGGAGATCGAAGCGGAAGAGAAAACGGCAACGGATACGATATGTCACGCCTGCGAATAGGTCAGGGCAAGAGCATGTCGAGAAGTTTGATGGTCACAGGTCTATCCCGGCTTTGGAAAGCTCTGCTTTGGATTCGGCAGAAGGGGGCTTCAGTGACTCTACGCAGCAAACGAGGTCTCACCTGATGCCAGGGCGCAAGGCTCATAGTTGTCCCGTGAGCCCTACCCTGACTACTGAGCCGGTGTCTCGAGGAACTCGGCTGCATCATCTTCCTACCCAAATCGAGATAGATGAACCGCCTGTCCAGACCCCACAGGCGCGTTGGCAGCTAGAGTCTAGTCGATACACCTTGGAGCCTGCAATTAGAACAGAACCGCACCCAGTATTTATTCAGCCCGTCAAAGAACTGGTTGTAAAGAGCTGGCAGACTTTCCGCAAGAAGCTTGATAATACCCTTAGCCGTGGCTGCCCCGATCCAGGAGGCACCTCTGCACCATTTAAGAATGAACAAATGTCCATGTCATGGCCAGCTCTGGCTGGCCCGTCAGCAAGCTCCTGGGCAGTCCAACGACGTCGAAATGCTAGGGAGAGACACGATATATACAGCAGCAGCGTTGAAAGCAGCCCGAGGTATAATTCACTAACATCCGGAACAACAAGCGATGCCTCAAGCCAAATACCTGCGGACCCGACGGCTACGATGTCCGTATCCAGGGGCTCTTCTTCCCTAGCAGAAGTGGTTAATGCTACCAAAGCGAAGAGCCCCCCAGCAAGCTCTAACCACTCCATCCCATCTTTCATCTCGAATAGCACCTCTGATGCGGACTCTGAAAGCTCTAATCCCCGACCCCTTCCTCGGAGCCCCGCTGGATTCTTTATAGGCAAGTCAGGAGGGAGCGGTCCAAACCATACCATGCCTTCGTTTGTTCCGCTTCGTGGAAACAAGCGTCGGGGTAGGCGGCCAAGCATGTTATCTGAAGTATCCACGCCTTATGGGGATATTACTCTGACGGAAGCGGAACAGCTTATGATGGAGGGCAGTGGGAACGACGTGATGTGAGGCACTGGAGAATTGAAATCTAGCTCGAGTAGAGAGTTTCCAGCTGAGACGATATGCGAGGCGGGCCCGGAGTCTCACCGGCTTGCAAGATGTCGCTCACTAAATGCATTAACTGAGCAGGATTTGTACCTCGCTGGCGATTCTCAAAACATGCATGGCCCTGTAGAAGGACACGAAGAAGATATGAGCAGGAGCAGGTTGCAGAGGATAAGCTCAGCTGGGACAACTGTTATTACACCAAGTGACGACAGCATAGAAGTTGGTGAATCGCCAGCTGGACCACCCGCCAGATTATGGGATGAAGGGGATCGGAAGGGAAAAAGGAAAGCCAGGAGCTTTCTTTGACAAGAGGTAGTAGTCTGAATTTCCAACTAGCCTCAGGGATATCAAACTATCAAGATGCCCACCATGAAGAGTAGCACGAATGCCTTGCAAAAATATCGGTTCCGACAACGGAAGAATTAACAACGGTGAAAGATGTGCAGCTATGGCAGTTGGAACATATGTGTTGTACAGATATTGCATCGCAAAAATTCGAGCAATTCGTTTAATTAGAATCATGAGGGTATCCGTATGGCCTAGCCAATATCCCAAATCCTGACCGCCCCAAGGTTTATCCACCTTGTAGTCCCCCCTGAACGCCATCAAAAACCGTCGCATGTCTAGTCGCCCATATTCCGTACAGTAGCAGATATAATAAACAACAACAACACCAGCCGAAGCCCCGCTAGAAGTCCTCACGCCTCCTGCCTCTCCGTCTTTATCGGAACCATCTCATACTCCCCCGCCCCATCGCGTCCCCTCCCCCTCCTCCCGCCCCTAGAGAACCCCGATTCCTCATCCCCTACCGCATCCGACGGCCCCGCGCCCGCGCCAGCACCCGCGGACCCCCCATCCGTAGGCGATGCCGCGGAGCCACCAAAGATTATAGGCCGCAGCTCGCGGCGCTGACACGCCCACGTGCCGAGGACGACCATGAACACCGCGCTGCAGATCTGCAGGGCCCACCAGAGCCAGTTGCGCGGGAGGCCGTGGGAGTAGAGAGAGACGAGGATGAGGTGCACGATGTGCAGGGTTATGACGAAGTCGAGGACGAGTTTGGAGCGCTGGATTATGAAGAGGATCGCTATTACACTGTTGTTCGTTAGCTTTATACCCTTTACACCCCCTCTGCGCATCGCGCGCTGCAGGTAGAAACTCGGCGCGGCGCAGTGTAGCAGCTACTCACATAAAAAACGCATTCGTCATCCACACCATCCCCAACAGCCATCCTTGTGTCGTATCCCCCCTCAGCGCTGTCCACCCTAATATATCATCTAGCAACCTGAATGGCGTGCCCATCACCAGCGTCGTAAACAGGATCATTACCACGGCGCTGACGTAGTACAGCGCCTGCAGCGCCAGGATCTGGGTGAGGATGCGCAAAGGCGGGAGCTCGGTCAGGGCGCCGGGGCGCGGGGGGCGCCGTCGCCGTGGGAGAGGCATGCGTGCGTGTGTGTGCGATGCCGGGTTGGTGGTGGTATGGTGGGCTACCTTGGTAGCATTTGCGGGAGTGTAGTCGTTCTCTAGTTGAGAGTTGTTTAGTTTGTGTTGTAGGAGGTTGGTGATGAGGAGGGTTTCATGAGGTGGCTGGATGGCATAGGCTTCTGGTAAAGTTTAGGGGACGGGGATGACAGGGGTAGGTCGACTAGCGCGGGAATGCACGTGAGTAGTGTCGATGATGTCGTCGGAGAGACTAAATTGTTGATTGGAAAGTTGGATTTGGGAGACGATTACTCTATACCGATCACTCAAGATATAGTAATTGAACAGCAAGGGAATTACGCACTATCTACTCGTCCAGATCGCCCCGCTACACCATCAAGTCACACCAAAACCACCAAAATCCAAGGGACCGAAAAGTCCGGCCTCAGCACCACAGCTACCCCAGCCACCAGCTCCTCCTCCCCAAATACACACACCATGGGTTTATTCTCCAGCTCAGCCGACAAGCTGCCCGCCCCCAAGATCTCAACCGACGGCACACCCATCGCGCCCGACCGGACCGCGCGCGCGAAGTGCTGGGAGGCGAGGGACGCATACTTCCAGTGCCTGGACAAGAACACCATTATCGACAGCTTGACGAATAAGGATGCCGCGGAGAAGGCGTGCGGTGCGGAGAATAAAGGGTTTGAGAAGAATTGCGCGAGTAGCTGGGTGAGTTCTAGTTCTTGGACTTTACGTTTGGGGGCGGGGGGGGGCCCAAGGTGGGAGGAGTGATACTGGGGACGGATGCGGCTGGCATTTGTGATAACTTTATGGCTAATATTCCGAATAGGTTACATATTTCAAGAAGCGCCGAGTGATGGAATACCAGCGCGACCAACAAATGAAGAAGCTCCGCGCAGAAGGCGCACAGGAAATCCCAGCAGGATCCGTCCCACCAGGAATCGGCTCGATACCAACCGCCGGACCCAGGTGAACAACCTACATACAGCAAGAGGAAGAAGCAGGAGGAGTTGTGAGAATAAGAATAAAATTGTATGATATGTAAAAATACGGTCAACAGTAGCAGGACAAAAGGGGCATATGGCACGAATATAACGAGTTAAAAATATTAGTCTTTTGGACAAATCCACTCCTATAACAAACACCACAACTCAAAGCTCAAAAGCCACACCACCTCTCGTCAAACAAAAGAAAAAATGCCGATAGAGAACCGGAAGTGTTGAAGTAGATTCGAATTCGCAAACGCCCATCCCATCCCACCCCACTCCCGTCGTGAGATCGCGAGTCCCATCCGTCCATCCCTGATATGTGCTGTTCTGTCGTCCAAAGTTTCCTGTCAAAAAATTCTTCTGTCCCTACCTATATCCTCAGGGATCAATACACATCCCGCCTGCTGTAATGGCTCCTCATCCCAATATTACTAATACTATCACTCGGTGCCACGCTCCCCGCCACACTCTCCGGCAGCGGCACCCTTCGCGCGCGCTCACTAGGCGCCATACTCCCCCCCATCACGCTCTCCGGGAGCGGCACCCTGCGCGCCCGCTCGCTGACAGTCGTGCTCTTCCTGTCACTCTTCATGCTCACCACAGTCTGGTCACGGCGTTCCGTTCCGGCTTTCGAGCTCGTGCGTGCGGGTTTGATAGTCGAATCGCTCCTTTTGCTCACATGGCTTCTTCCACTCTCAGAGTGCCTCCCCGCCTCAGAGTGGCGGGACGCACTAACAACCGTAACGGGCTTCTCATATCCAACATCCCTCTCAGTATAACGGGATTGTTTCGCCGTCGAAGCCTGGCTAGGCGCGGGTGCTTGGCTCCGTCCGCCGTCGTAGGCGGAGTAACTCATACTCCTCCTCTCGTCTACTGGCTGGAGCACGCCCTCTCTCCCTCCCCGACTGGTACCAGCATTGCTCGCGACATTGTAGCGAAGCACGTACCGCTGCCCGCCCTGGCTCCTCTCACTCCCCACCCTTGACCCGCCCATCGACGGCGCCTTGGAGCGCGCTACCTCCATGACAGGCGCCTGCTGTGGAAACTGCGCAGCGGGGGCGGAGAAATAGGTTACGAGCTGTGGACGCTGTGGCTCTGGCTCCTCGCTGCGAACCATGGCGTAGGCAACTGCAGCGCCAGCTGCAGCGCCGAGGATAGTCCCGATGATAGCCTGGGCAGAGAGGCCCTCTCCAATGCGCTCGGGTAGGGCGGAGGAGACTTCATTGTACATAGCCGTCATCATGGGCGTAGTCGCGCTTCTGAGGAGGGCGGGGCGCGCGTCTGGTACCTCTGTTGGGGGCGCGACCTGCGATGGTGCTGCCTCCTCCTGCACTGGCTGTGCGAGGACCATGGCCCGCTCGGGGCTTCCGTCGCGGCTTTGAGTGGGGGATTGGGAGGAGATGGAGCGAGCAACGTCGCGCTGCCAGTCTAGGACTCTGCGGGCCTCCTTTGCAGTCGAGGCGGTGGTGATAGTAGTTGGCGCCGCGTGGACAGAGCCGCGGCGGGGCGTGCTACGCGCGTAGCGGACCTCGAGCATGTTGCCGTCATGGTCTGTTGTTTTGGCGACTGAGGTGTCGGCGGAGTGCTGGATGAGGTTTGTGGAGTGGCGGGTGTTTGACTCGAGGGCGAGGGCGTGGAAGTTGGCGACCTGGGTAGAGTTTGAGGCGGTGAGGGAGAGGGTTGAGGGGCGGGGGGAGTGGGATTCGGTGAGGGTGAAGAGGATTTCGGAGGGTTGGGCGGGGATGCCAAAGTGTAGGGAGTGAGGGGAGGAGGGGGAGGCGCAGAGGAAGTGGATGCCGAGGGGTTGGGTGACGGCGGCGTAGAAGGAGGAGGAGGAGGGGAGGTGGGAGACTTCAATGGTGGGAATCATTGATGCGGTGAGGGTTTTGGTGCTTGAGAGAGATGTGTAGAGAGGGAATGATGAAGTGATCGCAAGTGAATAGAAGCGCGAGTGAAGAGAATGTTATGCTCTGCAAGACAGAAGGGAAAAGGTACCATTATATGGCTGTATGCACGATGAGACGAGGCGGCAGCTGTGAGGCCATCTAATCTTCAAACTCGTTCTTGTGGCCCATGTGAAGCTCAGTGGCAACCACTCACCTTGCAATTTGACTTGAAGCTGCAGAAGCAGCGTAGCACGCATGAGTCTAGGATAATCCGCACTGGAGCAAATTCATGTACGGTAAGGCCTTCACCTTTCTGTACATTTCTGCCGTTGGAAACATAGGCCATTTTCAGTGTACAGCTGTAAGTGTGCCACGTCTCGGTGGGGTAGCAACGTTTGGTCGGAAGCATGGTGTTGCATATCCCCGGCAGCCTCGACAAAGTCATTGGCTGCCAGTTGACGGCACACAGACGACACAGCACCGAATGAAAAGGTGAAGGCTACGAAATCGGTATGAAAATGGGGCTCTAGGTCAGCAACGAGAATCCAATGGTATAGCTTGAGTATAGTTAGAGTATAGCTAGAGCGCTATTTTGTAAATGGCGAATTAGCTGAAGCATTTGGCAAGTCATATATGGGGCATATCCCTGGCATATCCTGGTACATGATGCGGGATTCTTGCGCACTTTGAGGCCCAGAATCCTAGTGGGTCGGCAATGGGTCGACAATGGGTCGAGCATGATGGGCATGAATATCTCACTTATTTGCCCTTGGCGCGGAGTAAGTCCGACGTCTCTACGGGCTATTTAGCTATGTAGTTGGACAGTGAGTCGAGGGCACACCAGCATACTAGCATACCAAAACTGGGTGCAGGTGCGCTGGGTGCCCACGAAATAGTGGTGTTGCTGCCCAAAGCGAAAGCTAATATTAGGTTTCATCCTCGGTATTCTCGTCATATCGAGGGACAGCAACGCGATACTTATCGCAACAATCCAGAACAATGGAAGCACTTGAAGCATTTGACAAAGGAAATTGTGGACCGTGTTGAAGTGGCCCACAAAAGACGACTAAAGCGTCTTGGATCTGTTGTTGAACGCCCGATGTTTTGGTTGTAAAAACAAAGACTGAGCACACAGATAACCCAAGCTCGATAACCACCCAAACTAGCGTGATGTTATGATCAGGCCGTCCGAAGTGATCCTCGCTTTCACCTTATATCGACCAATGCCCTTGCTGTGACATGTTCGCACTCGTGACTGAATTGTATCTTGTCGCTAGTGAGGACATCTTCTGCCGGCGTCGGCGCTATGAAGGTCTCCTAGATGATGTTCCAGGCATCTTCTGCAGCGTGGCAAAACTTGGAGCATGCCACACTAGCGGAGAGACTGAAGTTGCTGATGGAGATCTTCTCGTCGACGAACTCGTCGGCGAAATTGTCGGATCCCTTCGCCATGGCGCCGACGAACACGCAGATGCTCTCATCTGGCTTCAGGGCCTCCATATACTCCCTGACCTTGACAACGGGCGCATCGAAACTGAGCGTGATCTTCCTGCAGTTCGGAGGCAAGTGATCCGAAATCGGGTTCTTGATAACCTTAAGCAGCTTCTCTTGGGAGTTTGTAGAGCGAATAGACAAGCGATGCAATAACTGGACCATAAGTCCAGCAAAGCGCTTGAATGTACGTGGGATTCGGACTGTCGGGCTGACTTCGATGAGGACACCCTTCGCAGTAGCGATATATATTTGCAGCAGACCAGCCTTGTTGACGGGCGAATCGAGGAGAGTGAGCAAGCACTGCAGACGTTAGTCTCTGCCCCGCTAAGATGGCTAGATCGTGCAAACCTGATGTGTAATATCCGGTCGGGCATCGCTAATATCGCGGTTCATCTTGCGCATGACGCCAATGTGCTCGTCGCTGTTCAGCAGCGAGTACTTCTCGTCGCGGCTGGGCATGCCTGGCCTCGCTGGCGCACCGTGCGAGGCCTTGTAGGTTTCGAGACTGGCATTTGAGAGTACAACGATCAGGCGCTGGGTGCTCTTGTCAGTCGCAGGAATCGGGACATGCTGCTCAGCGGTGAGTCGTGGCAGCGATGGTGGCGGGAGCGACTGGGTTCCTGCCATGGGAGTGTCTGTTAGATCGGATGCTGCCATTGTGTTGAACAGTGGAGTGTTTGGGAGGAAAATGTTCAACGTTGAAGTCTGATGGAGTATGGGGTGGGGGTGCTGGTTGAGCGGAAAAATATCGAAAAAGGTTTGCAAAAGTCAGTGATAGGATGGATGGGATGATGCTACTCACTCGGCCGCTTAACGGTTCTCTCTTCTGGGGAAGACATTGTGACTCGGGGTGGTTTTCGAGGTAAAATTTGTGATAGGTCAATCCAGAAGAATTAACAACAAAAATGGATCAAATCTGGAGAGAAATGTTCACAGCGGGGTAGTTTAGGAGATAGATAAGGTAGATGAAGAGATAATTGTGGTGAAATATGTGAAGTCGGGGATGGTTTGATGAAGAGTATGAAGAGATGAAGAAGAAGATGATCGGGAGAAAGGGGAATTGGAGTCAATCTCTCTTTTTCAGTGTGCGACGTTCGGCGAATTTACTTACTCAGGTGACAACACGTGCCTCTTGAATATCATGCCGTTGAGAGTCAATTGAGCGGGTGCGACCGGTATAACCAGCAAAAAGGAAGATGTATTCGATTCATACCAGAGGAGTATAATATAATATGACGTTAATATTGCCAAACAATAAATTATAACTCTAGGACAACGAAAATACCATGTAGTATCCAAGAAAGATGATGCTTTTTGGGCTTCATTTTTTTGTTGTCACTTTCAGGGCACCGAGTGAGTGGCCAGGTACATAAATCCCAGGTCTGTGATTAGAGTTTGTAGACAGGACCCTGAGTTCTGCACAGTGCTGTATCGGGGAATGATGTATACAGTACATACATACACACATGATCAATCTGTGAGTACTCGCTCACTCACCCTGTCTCTCACTCATACTTTATTTATCCTCATAACTCACAACTCTCAGCACTTTAACAACTTCATCATCATTCAACAATGAATGGGTGACACATTGCGACCAGTTATGGCCACCACCACAACCAAACACCGACAACTATATATCTACAGATCTTCAGTGATCAAACAGATCCTGCTGAAGCAAATGTAGAACAGCCACTGTTTCTCATTTGCCCAGTTGTGGATGTGCTGGATGGTGTAGATGCCGGACCACAACGACTGCCGGCGCGTATGCCCTCACAACGGCGGCCAAGACTGCCAATGTTCAACTACAATCAGACTATGGATCGAAAAATCCCATCGCAGAGCTGACTGCCTGCCTTTAAGAGCCAGACACGGCATTGTGACAGGTTTGATGTTCTTCAATGTGGGTTTTTCAGCGTTACGAGTTTCATGCTGTTTGAGCTTGGCACCATTTTCTCTTACAATTGCTGTTTGGCATGGGACAATGCGCAACAATCAGAAACTTCATCTCGAATCCCGTCCCGTTCTTACAAATGGCAACAGCCAGACCAGGCATCTGTGATAGGCTCTTTTACGAAGTTCTACTACAGTTCCAGTAAAGTTTCCTGAAGATCTCGTCTCGGCTTGTCTGGTATCCATATACTTCCTTCCCGGCTCACAGAACGGCCGCCAAGCATTACATCTCCTGTCTCATACTCAACGGGATCTCCATATCCACTTCACCGACGATACAATGCTCGTTCCAGAGCATGGCCTCATCTTTCATCTGTTGCTCGCTTCTAGTCGATGCCAAGCTTCCTACAAGAAGTACTCTGCATCCGAAATATCCATCTCTTCTTTTACGTTCATCACCGTCTAAAACCTCTCTTTCACCTTCCAAACGTGTATCTTCGTGCGGTTTTATTTCTCTTCTTCAATCTGTAATTGCCGGTCAATCAGATCACACGTCGAACGTGCCTTTCTTTTTCTTACATCTAACTCCTTGACGGACAACAACAACGCTCATTACATCCAACCTCACCAGCCTCTCGACTCTCACCATCTTATAATTCTGGTCAAGAAGCTGCTACAATGCTCTACAAGTTTGCCCTTGCCGTCGCCTTAGCGGCGAGCTCTGCCGTTGCGCAGAACAACAACCAGAATAAGGGGGGTCAGAATAACAACAACAACAACAACAACAACGCCAACAACAATGCAGCTGATGGCCTCACACTGCTAGCCAATGCCGTTCAGAAGGGGTCTGCACAAGATGGTTCTGCCAACATCGCAGCCGGCCAGGCGTTGTCACTTACTTCGGATAACAACTTCATAAACTTCTGCTCGGGGAAGACACTGACAGATGGTCTGCAAGTTCAAGGAGGTTCTTGTAACGGAGTTGGTGCGTATATTACTCCAAAGAAATACCAATCAATTTTTCTAACACGAGACAGTCATGGGAGACATCCCTTCCAAATCCAACATGGTCTCATCCATAATCACCTTCCCAACACAGGGTGGCGCCGACGTCCAAGCCGACACCACCTTCGACATCAAAGTCCAAATGGCCAACTTCGTCGCCGGAACCTTCACCAACGCCGATAACACCTACTACTCCGCCCCCCAGCAGCTCCAAGGCGGCAAAGTCGTCGGCCACACCCACGTCACCGTCCAGGATCTCGGCAACACCCTGAACCCCACCACCCCCCTCGACGCCACACAGTTCGCCTTCTTCAAGGGGATCAACGATGCAGGTGATGGAAAGGGCGGGCTCTCGGCGACTGTTACTGGAGGACTTCCCGCGGGCAATTACCGTGTTTGCACTATGGCTTCGTCGTCGAACCATCAGCTTGTTCTCATGCCTGTTGCGCAGCGTGGTGCGTCGGATGATTGTACGAAGTTTACTGTTAGTGCTGGGAATAACAACAACGGTGGCAACAACAATAACAACAATAACAACAATGCCGCCGCTGCTAACAACAACAATAACAATAACAACAACAACGCCGCCGCTACCGCTGCTAACAACAATAACAACAACGCCGCCGCCGCTACCGCTACCGCTGCCGCTGCCAACAACAACAATAACAACAAAGGACAGGGTGGAAGGCGAGGAGGCAGGCGTGTCAACCGCCGCACATTTGTTGCATAAATGATATCCTCGGGAAAGAGAGAGGTGCAGGTCACGTTGTTTTTAAAGATCCGTAGAGCGGATGTAAGAAAAACACAGTAATATTGCAGTTTGCATGCAGGCTTGGATCTGGAATATATATTTTCTTTTAACTTTTTGATGGTTTGTTTGTTGGGGGTTTTTTTATCTAGTGATGTGTGATGTGATGTGTATGTGAGAGTGTGGTTTTTTTTAATCACATTTTTGACGTAGCATCTGGGATTAAATAAATGCCTCCGCGCGCGTGCTAATAGATTTGGCTTGTTACTTTGGGAGATGAGAAAAAATATTTATATAGCTTATGCTACGTGCTGTCTCATGTGTGACTATTGCACATTGAATCAAATTCGAGAAACACTCTGGGTAATTACTGTTCTAAAAAAACCCCCCGCGTAGATACAAGACCGAAATAAAACCTATATTCATCACCATAGCTCTCTAGGACCCATTACCAGGATAAAAATAAAGTAATAAAGTAATAAAAAAAGTCTATACCATGACCCAAAATACCTCCCAAACTCCTTCGCTATATATACGCCAAAACACGAAAAACTCTCACTCATCTCAAACGAACGACCACGGTGCTGGTCAGACGTGCGTAACCTATACTATAATCCGACCACCCCCTCCCTCCGCACACACTTTCCCACACAAGGCTCTAAACTCGCTCAAGATAACCTGGCGACGCCGTAGTCGGTGGTATGGTAATCCTCGTTGATGTGATCATCCAGCCCATCCTCTGTGGCGATGATCTCGAGTATATCCTTCGTAATCGGACCGGAGTACTTGCTACACCACCAACCCAGTCAGCACACAAAATTCCACGGCAAAGCACAGCACGCGGCAGCCAATCCACGGGCGTGGAGGAATACAAAGGGGAAAAGGGGAAAAGGGGAAAACTCACTTCCTCGCACCCGCCCACCACCACCCCCAAGCAAACAACGCAATCGCCGCCCCCACCACAGACGCATAATTCATATTCTCCGCCGTCACCGGCCTAATCGTCGGGAACAGCAGCACCACACTAATAAAGAAAACCCAGGTGACCGCAATCCCATTCAGCGGCTTCCTCATCCAGCCCAGCACGTAGGGGCCGGGGCGGAAATCGATTTGGGAACTGTAGATGTTGCGAGCGAGGATTACTGCTACGTAGGAGAGGTCAAGGGCTGGGGCGGTGATGTTGAAGATGGCGACGATGGTCTCGGTGCTGCCGATGCCGATGCAGTTTAGGACTATGGCGAAGGCGACGACGAGCCAGACGGCGTTGATGGGGGTGTTGGTGCGGGGGTTGACGGTGGACCAGAAGCTAGGGGGGGGGTTAGCGGCGAGGTAGCTTGAGGGGAAGGAAGAGGAGTAAGGTGGGGGTGGGGGGAGGGACGTACGTGGAGAATGGCAGGGCGTTGTCGCGGGCAAAGGCAAAGGCCATGCGTGTATCTGCTAACATTGCGGAACAGCCTGTGAAGAACTGGACGAGGATGACGAAGAACCACATTGCCGTTCCCCCCTTTTTGCCGCCAGCGTTGAGGAAGATCTGTGCTGCGGGCATGCCGGTTGGGGAGTTAATAACGGCGTCGAGATCGGTGGTACAGAAGCACAGCGTGACAGTGATCATCCACCCGACCAATCCCGATATAGTGACAGCCCAGCGAATAGCCTGAGGTCCACGAATAGCGGCGTCGTGGGTCTCCTCAGACATATGAGTCGTCCCATCATAATCGGTCATGACCCAAGCCACGGACAAGAAACTCAGGAAAAAAGAGAATGGGGTTCCCCATCCGGAGCCATCGGTGAAGTGCCCGAAGACCCAGCTTGCGGGCTGCAGGTTGGGCGTCAGGATGAGGAGGGCGATGCAGATGGAGACGGATGCGATGACGTTGATAGGCGCGAACCAGAGGATGATTTTGTGCAGGTTGCGGGTGGTGAGGGAGCAGATTACGCCGGTTATGACCAGGACGGCCATGGAGAGGAGGACGGTTTGGAGGGCGGAGCTGGTGGGTGTTAGTATTAGGTGAGATGGGGGGCGAGGTGAGCTTACGGTGAGAATGCATATGCCTCGCCGTCGAAGTGAGAGTTCATGCTAACCGCCGCGAGGATCTGTTGGGCGACTGTGTATGCCACACTAGCAACTCCAGCTGTTTGGCCTAGGAAATTACACCATCCGATAACCCACGACCAGAGCGCCGAGTGCTTCGGCGGAACCACGTTCTTGGTGACGAAATACATTCCTCCCGCCGTGGGGTACGCAGAGACCAGCTCCGCAACTATGACAGTGAGTCAGTCTGTGTCCGCCAGAACTCGATTGGGAAACATACCAGACATAGAAATGCACTGAGCCATCAACGATCCAAACGCCCAAGCCCACACCGCCGCAGCCGGTCCGCCGAGACTGAGCGGGCTTCCAAATGTCGCTGGGACAGAGCCCAGGACTCCCAAGACTGAGACGGCATAGGAGAGCGTGGAGTACTTCGTGAAGTGGCGGGTGAATTTCTATCACATTGTCAGGATTCCGTGCCCGTGGTTCTGCCTAGACTAGGGAACAATCCCACCTGCTCGTAGCCAATCTGAGCCAGCAGCCGCTCATCATCATCATGCATAGTCGCCATCGGATGGGCAGTCCGTTCTACAACCTTGCCCGAGGCGGTAGTGGCAGGCTGTTCTTGTGACGGAGAGACGCTGGGGCGTTTTTCGTCTGAGGAAGATGGCATTGTCAGAGAAAGTCAAGTGGGAAAGTGAGAACCAAAAAATCGCCAGTAGGCTAGAATCTCGCTATAGGAGAAAATCCACGAGGGGAGGGACCAAGGGAAAGAAAAACGGGGGCGGGGGGGAGATCAGGTCCATGTATATATGGAGGGGACAGGAAAAGTAAAATAATGTAAGGAGCCACACACCTTCTCTCGTACAACCGCTGATCGTACCCCGCCGTTGGATTGGCCTGTTCCAACTCGCACCCGTAACAACGGTAGCCCACGCGGGAGGGACGGGATTCAAGCTTCTTCCTGGTCGATGACGATGATAGGACCCTTGGGAGGGGTTCCACAGTCTAGTCTGCCTGACGTTGGGAGGAGGTGGATGGCGGACGGACAACACGGGATATAGGAAGCAAGGGGGGACGACTTCTTTTTTTGATTTTGGGGCTAATGAGAAGGCCGACAGTAGAGTAGTTTTTGTTTGTGCTTTGGTGTACAAACTATGCACCCTTGTTTTGTACACGGGCTAGAGGAGAGGGGAGTACGGGAGTATCGTTTCTCAATGAAGGATATACCGGTAATGGTAATGGTAATGGTAATAATACAGTCGAAACAATAGTATAGAATAGTTTGTAGAGGGGAGCGACCCGGCGATTTAGTTTACGCCCGAACCCATGCTGGGATTATGGTTGGGACAATTGGTGGGATGCTGGCATACTGGTTGGACGTTCCCTCTCCCATGTTTCGTGTGTTACTCTCGCTTGTATCCAGCGCTGTGGTTCACCTCTTGAATCGCGTGAATCAATAAAGTGAGATTGTTAGTTTAGTATATTAGTTTTGTATGGAGTGGAGAGTATGGAGAGCATAGAGCAAATTTGACAAGGAGCAGGGTTGGTAGTAGGACGGGCAAAACAGCTAAAGTATAGTGGAGTACAGTGGATATTGTCAGTACTCCAGTATTTGTCGGTACAGTGGAAGTGGAGTACAGCGGAGAGTATTTTGTTAGAACCATAACGTTGTTGTAATGTTGGTATCTGGTACACTCACTTTGCCACATTTCCCATAACTCATAGTTCCAAACATAGCGTGGGGGTTCCCATATAAGTACCATATCTATATCCTATCTTGGGCATCCTTTGTCCTTGGGCACGCCTTGGATCTCGTAGCTCTTACTCCAGCTCTTAGCTCCCCTTCTTCCCCAACCGTCCATCAGCCTGCACGTAGACGAATAAGTCCATCCCCTTCCCAGCTTCCATCTCAGCTTCCAAGGTCAACAACTCCAGACCCGGCGTTTATCACTCTCGACACTGTATCTCCAGCATGTGCCGATGAGCGCCCAGCATGTAGGTGATCAGGAGGGCCTGCACTGCCGGCTGGCCTGCAGACATGTAAGCAGCCGCCTGCACTCATCATTGCATGCGGCCACCGAAACATGCGGCCATCATGACAGCCACGGTCCCAGCAACGAACCTCATCAGCGAGCGGTGCATGACATAATCAACAAGGTGAATCATAAAAGCAGGGCGCGCATGTTTAGTGGAATCCACTTGACTGAACTGAACGGATTGGAGGCGGGCCAACGGGACAGTCCGTCGTGGCACAGTTCTCGAAGCACCATCTGGAGCGGTGATACGCTGAGCCACACCAAACCTCGGTCCGTCCCCTCCTAGCCATGTGCGCTACCACCTTCATAGTCTCACATCCAAGCTATTCCCAAGAGCGGAATGAGGCCGACCGCCGTCTAATCCGTCAGCTTGCTGAGCAGTTCTGAATGCCGCCCTCGTCGACGATGCTGGGAAACATATACACATTTGTCAGTGGCTGCATGAAGTGACGTCTTTACGTCCCACCATGCTGTAGACCCATGAGTCGTACCGAGGGATGGGATGCATTGCAGGCTCCCATACTGGGGTCCGTCCGAGACATGTCACTCTCGAGCTACATTTGTAAGTAACTTCCACTGGGAGATAATCGCACAGTTCGTCGTGGCGTGGTGAAACGCCTAGCCATGCCGGATTCGAGCTAGCTGGTACAGAAATTTGGGTGCCCGGCCGCCAACACAGTCGGTGGAGAACGGGCATCGAAATTTGGTGATAAACTGATCATATGACCTTCTCATATTTGCGCCCCTGAATAATCGCTGATGGGTTGTTATGTGTGTTTTACCCAATCGCAAAAATGTCAGTATATGGCGGTGAAGAAAAGCTTGGAAAAGCATTCTGATAACGGGCAACGGTGAGCGAGGGGAAAAGAACGTGCTCAACCGAACTATTTCTCATCCGTTCCCCAAAAATAACACAGACCTTGAAGGGGAAAAGCAGCGGTGAAACCAACAACTAACACCACTACCCGATCGAGTCATAGATCGACGCGCGTTTGCGGGGTTCCAACAATTCCGAGGGCGCTGTCCGAGCCGGATCATCACAACGTGATCTCCATCGATACTTGGCGTTTCCGAGAGGTCGGCCAGCTTCACCACCCCTCCAAACTCAGCCGCCGCCACACAAACACATCTTCGGAAATATTGATACTCCAACTCCGACTCCTCATCTGTCCAGGACAGCGCAGCGCCTCATTGTCCAACGCAGCACAAACTCGCGGCGGAGAGGTGAGAAGCGGGATGCGTATCAAGTCTCGCTGTCAGACCAGTTGGAGGTCCCTCCGATTGCGTCGCCCTCATCGGCTGTGACGCGATACAACACCAACCTGCCCGTCCCCGGCCTGCTATGCGAGGCCCTCCCTCTTCGTACGCGCCACAGGCCGTCGGGAGCCGCTGTCCACAGGTAAAATTCCAATTCCCCCATCCTCGCAGCTGAGCCACCCGCTGCACCCGGCCCGAAACAACTCCTCCCACCAACATCCGTTGGCCGTCCCGAAGAAATTCCGCCGGGCAAAACGGAAGCCATCCTATCCTCACCACGCGCGTTCAGCTTACCCTTCAAAAAACGTGGCTTAGAAAGGCCCTGCCTGGCCGTCGTTCGTCTTATCTGTGTGCGTGCATGTTGGATGGTCGTACAAGAAAGCTGCAGTGCTACGCAGGGCTTACAGCATGCACGATCTTGGGGGGTGCAAGCATTGTATGTGTGAACCCTTGAACTCCATGTGGACAGGCGTGCATGCTGCATCGAGTCCTTTTAATAGCAAGTAGGGCCATTGGGGATTATTTAGGGCTGACTCCACACTTCTGGAGGGTTTGTCGGGATTATGTGATGGACGGCGAATCGTTGCTCTCGTTATTTGGGGCGGTTGCCGCGTTTCCGTGGAATTCGGCATTTGTAGAATGCTTCCCAAGATGGGAGTATACTTTCAAGCTGTTCATGAGGCGATTCATCTCGAAGGGGAAAAATTACTCGTATCCCTAGGACACTTCGTCGTATTGTAACCTCCCCATAGTACGCGAAAGCTGATGACCCCTGAAGAAAATGGCCATTTGTAAGGTAGGCTGGATAATGCGAAGCATTTTTTTATTGCGTAGAACTTGGTCTGATTGATTATACGACATAGAGCCGTCTCTTTCAAATCATAGCCTCAGCTATAAGAACTGTAACCCCATAACTCAACCTTCCACCTTGATAATATAGACAGCCTGGGATAATCCATGGCGTACAAATAGTAAAGCAATCGAAGCAAATCCACCTCCCGCCCATATACTGGGCCATTTTATAACATACAAGCCGCAAATTCGTAATCATACAAGTCGCTCATGGCCACCCACAGGCATCTCAACATCCGACATACGTCGCAGCATCATGATTTCTCAACGATGCATAGAGCGACACAATCCAGCATCACAGCTTCCATCCGCCCACTCCATTTTCAAATCATCCATCCACCAATTCTTCGGCTCCCCGGCAACCGTGACATTAACCTTCAGCGCCTGCAAATGCGTGAAATCATCTAGCAGCACTATATCCGTGAGCTTGCAATCCTGCAGCCCCGGGCAGCTAGCCGTCGACACGAGCTAAGTGACCACTTCCTCATACTCCTGCTTCCTGGGATTGAACTGCACGCCCGTGAACTGCCAATCGCATTGTGGCCCCAAGGAATCGCAGCCCACTGACGCCGCGAGGGCATGGAAGGTGTAGCACCCCCACTGTAGGTTTTGACCGATACCGATTTCACCGGTGGCGCCGTACTCGTCGATCGGGGGGGAGTTGTGGGTGCGTGTGACGTCGGCAGTGCTCTGGGTGACGAAATCGAGGAGGAGCGGCGCGGATTTGGGGGTGTAGGGGTCTTTGGGGGGAGGGGCGACGACGAAGCCTTGAGAGAAGTAGAAGTGGTGGTAGGGGTTGGAAATGGGTTGGGGTTGGACGTCGTTGGAGTTTGCTGGACCGGCGAGACGAGGGATGTCATCAAACTGGAACAAGGGGTTAGAGTGTTATATCTATGTAGGTTGAGATAGAGAAACTTACAGTAAGCCTGAAGATACCTTGCTCGCCGCATGATGTAACAACGGTAACAAGAGGCCGAGTGGATGTGGCAGTGGTAGAGTCAGCCAGGTCAGGTGTAGGTTTTCTCATCCGAGCTTCTCTCGCTCCAGGAATGTAAGTTGAGAAAAAATGTCCAGATGTGTACGTGGTGGCCTTTGAAAGATCCGCGGGAAAAGTGACTGTGGCGATAAATGGAATCTTTAAGGTGACTGTTGCAGCTTCGTCAAGAGGCACCAGAGGTGCATGAGTACCAGGAGGTCGGGCCATATACGTGGTAGAGTCAGCCGGGGTAGTTGTAGGTTTCTTGAACCGAACTTCTCCTAGTCCAGGAATGTAAGTTGAGAAAGATCGTCCGGAAGTGTATACGGTGGCTTTTGAAAAATCTACAGGAACAGTGACTGTGGTGATAAATGGAAGCCCTAGGGTGATTTTTGTAACGTCTTCAATGAGAGGTACGAAAGGAATTGCACCAAGTGCTCCTGGAGTCAGATAGGCATTTTGTTCTTTGGGAATAGAATACATACCGTCCTTACGTTCGAGCGGTTTACTCTCGTCATTGGCAAATCCTTTCATAGCTGCTAGTGTGGTGCGTTGTGACGGAGATTGTGCACGAATCGTAACATTAGTTAGAATACCAACTGTATGAGTGGGGGTTGTTTCGGTGCCGCCTGAGAACAGACTCGCTGACACTGGATCGTGAGGGGTTGGACCTGCTGCAACAGTTTGGTAAATGGAATCGTTTGAATTCGTTTCTGGCGCGATAGACTTCACAGGGTATACTGTAACAGTTTCGACTGCGACATCATCGCCGCCAGAACCAGATTGTGCTTCGGTAGGGGATGTCGAATTAACCGTCAGCTCGGCCGTGGGTACTCCCGTTCCAGTGGGGGCCGTGAGATATTGAGAGGTGGTATTAACCGTCACTGGGTCCTTTGTCGCTGCCGTTCCAGTAGGTGCTGTGAGATATTGGGACGCAGTATTGACCATCAATGGAGCCTTCGACCCATCCGATTCAGTAGGGACCGCGAGGCTTTGGGACGTGGTGTTGACAGTCTCGGGGACCTTAGGGCCTTCAGTTCCATTGAGAGGTTGGAATGTAGTAGTCAGCGTCGCTGTGAGATTCTGCTCTTGCTTCTCAGTTGGAGAAGGACCATCGTGGAGGAAACGGACAGATGTAGACTCCCAGATATTAATATCAGAGCTTGGAACCCCGGAAATGTTTATGGTAACGGTGACAGTTTTGAATCCAGTATGAGTTCTTGTGACTGTGATAGCCAGTCCATCAGAAGCGGCTTCAAGATGCTGAGTCTCGGCCTTGTGAAGGTCAGTAAGACTTATCTCATATACAGGTATTGAGGAGGAGGTTGTTACCAAGTGATGGGCAATGCCAAAGGTTTTAACATCAGGGAGTGAAGGGTCCTCGGTAACTGTCACGTAGACTGTGATGATGCTGCAAAGCTTGCCAGGGTTCCCATCTTGAAATCTTGAGGACGTTTAGCGCGGCAATATCGTTCATTAAAGGTAGATCGACAACTTACAGGGCAGCTGCGGCAGCTGGAGCAGCAGAGGAAATGCCACAAAGGACAAGGACTAATCCAAGATACACCAGGAGGTGCATCTTGAAAGAACTGGTACAAAGTAGAAACCTTGAGAAGTGAGAAGTATCAAATCAAAAGATCAGAACATAGAAAGATAAAGACTGTGAAGGGACGTATGTCCTTCAAATCAGTGCGATGAAGGGGGTGAGGAAGAAAGGTGTTGTTGTGAAGTGGAAGAAGTGAAGTTGTGGTAGTTGACGGTAAATCGTGGGCAGAGGGTTCACGCGTCTGTCAACCCCCCTAAGCGGCCAATTGTAGAAGGAACGAGGAAGAGCACTTGAATTTCACTCAATTCGGATGACCGCTAATTCCTGTGTATTTTATACATCTTATCAACAAGGCCACTTATTAAAGCTAATCTCCAATGGCTATATAAAACCATTGATGGATGACTGAGCTTTGGCATAAACTCGCTCGAACAAACATTTCTGTGTTATTATAGATCAAATGGTCTGCTCAGAACTTTGCGCAAACTCCATACTCACTTTATAAATCTTGACTCAGGCGGCAAGATCATTGTAGAATAATAAAACAAATGCGATAGTAGACAGGACTTCAAACACAGACGTGTCGCAGTTGACATATTCCTGTGAACAAGCATGGCTCTGCATAGCATGACATATAGAGAAACAACTTTGCCTCCCTCTCTCATAGAATCGTGACTACAGATAGACAGCACTTCATATGGAGACAAATAATGTATAGATCCAACTCAACAATAGTAAATATTAATCATAAATAACTTTATGAGCATTATACCTGATCTTCCGTATCCGTGTACTCTGGCGGAAACTCGTCATCAACTTGCGCTCCTCCAACGACTGACTCAGCAGCCAACAACTGCTGCTGCCTTGCTTCTTCCAAATCCGCAACCCACAGCGCTGAGCCAGCAGCAGATGTAAGTAAGAAGAACATTGACAACACTGGGACAAGCTGTAGCAGTAGCGCAATGGTCCCAAACCTGAGTCCAAGAGTTAGTATAGAGTTTCATCGCCTTCCCCACGTCAAACTGATACTAGTTTAGAGCAACATACCAAGTATACCCCCATCGCCGACTCTCCACCTCCTTATTCCGCTCCTTCCTCCCCAACCCCCTCAACTTAAAATACCTCCAATGCTGCAACGGCCCGGCCCTCCTCCCCGTAAGAATCAAGAACAGCGGCACGCCCGCGAAGGGAATGAAATTCAGCGGCAGGAACAGCACAAATTCCGCAATCTGGCGGAAGCTGAATGGGCCATACACGGCCTTCTCTGTTGGTGGGCCGAGGGCCTTGACTGGGTTTGAGGCGGCGGGGAAAATAGTGCGCGAGGGTGAGAGCAGGGCTTCTTGGTGCCGGGAGAGGAGGGTCGCGTCGAAAACGTCAACAAGCGTTTCATCAACGAAGAAGGCTTCAAAGAGGAGGGCGACGATGACAGCGCCTGTTCATAATCAGCTTCCGCGCTTGATCTTTTGGGGCGTTTTCATGGTGGACGGCTGGGGGCCTAGAGCTTGAAATATAAAAACGCTGACTCACCTTCTCCCAAAACCAAAAACGCGGCACTCACAAACGCCGCAGGGCCATGGAATATAGCCAACAGCGCTGCCTGTGGCAGGAAAGCAAACATAAACAAGAGGGTATACACCAGTAAACTCAGGAACAGCACGGGTATCAGACGCGTCTTGAAGAGGCTCCAAAACGGAGGGTGGACGATGAAGAAACAGATACCCCATATGGGGTAGAGCGCAGGGTAGAGCGCCTTGCCCAGCGGCGTTAGGTACCGCATTTTGTGGTGATGTTTGGGACGGTGAGAGATGAAAAGGCGGGGAGAGTTGGGGTCGGTGAGGTCTCACTTAGAGATGACGTACGCGCTGGTGGAAAATATGTTTATCCGGTGGGGTGAGGTTCAACAGACCCCGTAAGGGTTATCAGATGGTAGATCGCAAGTGCAGATGCCTTACAAAATATAATTATTTAAAATGGTGTTAATGCAAATATGTTGTTTTCAAAGAGGAAACTAAAGTTTTGTATATGTTTTATATTGTTTTTTATATAAATCTTATTTTCGGAATCTAGCTATTTACAACCTCTAATTGTGCTCTGATACACCGGTCATAATAGCCTGTTCTCATCTGTGTGCAATCTATGTGTATCAAACAGTCTAAACTGGCTGAAGCCCCTATCTACCAATAATGCAAAATAATAATGCATCCAGCCAATATTTCTAGCATTAATATATATATAAGAAATCAATGGCTGGCTCGAGAGAAAAGGGTAAGCCAGTGTCACTGGGGAACACCGTCCAACTCTCCCTGCTCAATCCATTCATTCCATTTGTCTGGCGCAATCGCTGGAGTTCCGGTGGCGCTCGTTCTTGTAATTGCAGTCGCGACACTCTTCAATCTGTTTGGAACTCCCGATATCACATCAAGGTCTTTTTTCACGGCAGCTGATTCTAGCTGGGCGGGTGCAATGCCACCCCCGACAGTTGAGTCCAGTCCGCCGACATGAGTCTTCGTGGCTAAATCTAGCTTTCTCGCGGGTGTTCCGGCGTAGGAAGTATCCAAGCTGCTGTCAAAAGAAGCAGGCGCATTGATCGCGTCATTGCCAGCCATAAGCATGCCCATTAGGGGATCGTTTGGAAATCCAAGATTCTCATTGAAGATTCCGTCATCCTGTGGCGTCGCAGTTGCAAACGGGTTGAACTCGGTATCTGAATCCTGGATGTTGACCTGCGGTATGTATGTTTTGTCGCATGATACTCCTGCCGTGATAGAACTATCCGTGCTGTTGAAATCAACAGGCTCAGGCCGTTTCGAGAGCTGCGATCGTTGCTCAAACGATCGACAAACTTTCGCCGCCTGGGATTGCTCGATAGATTGCAAGGCAGGCGACTCGGATTTTATTTCGACTGGCATAGACTTGCCACGACTTGGCTTCGAAGTATCCGGACTTGGCGACTTAACTGCCGCTGATTGCTGAAGTTTCATCGCAGACTCGGCTTGACACTGGTTGGGATAGAGACGTCGATTGGCGATACTCTGCGTAGCCCCTAGCTGTGGATCGAAATTTTGAAACTGATGTTGCGGCAAATATGCTGTAGGCGGAGGTATGGTGATTGGCATTGTCGGCATGATATGAGGCATACCATACGGCGGCGGGTGGCTATCGCTCATCATTTGCGCCTGGTAATTCATATGCGCATTCATCAAACTGGCGACGTTCGGATAAGAACTGGGAACCTGGCTTGCATGCTGCGCTGTCTGTGTAACTGCCTGTGAAGCATATGAGTTTCGTAGGGCCCCTTCAAGAGCTGTCCGCACATGAAGGTTGTTCGTGAGGTAATCTGAGAACTCAGGGCTGTTGAAATCGCTGGGGTGGCTATGAAGATGGGCGCCGTGGTACCGATAATGGTGTGGGAGATCGTCTTCCTCCTCCTCATACATCTCTTCGTTTATTACATCTTCCTCAGAGACTCGTAATGACCTGCCGGTCCGTCGCTTGTGTATTTCTGATGCGCGCCTGGCCGATTCTACGCGCGCTTCCAATGAGCGGTCACTCCTCCTTGAAGCGGCTATGTAGGCCCGCTCTTGGTTCTCCTCGTGTGTACGTTCGGTCTGAAGCAGTTAGTAACTCTGTTGGATGGAGTGATATGAGACCACTACTTTGATTGCCTTGGCAGGCGGGATGCATCTCAGAGGAGGCATCGTAATATACAAATACAATTGAATATAAATGAACTGAACAATTTAAACTGACCACTGCAGAACAGAGCAACTGAACGCAAAATTATTTTGGGATTCGGCAGAATAAGATGTCTTAAGAAATAATTGGAAGCAGGACACAAGCCTAGGGAGAGGGCCACGCTCGTGACAGTGATCGTGATGGCTCGCAATGCTGTTAAAGCAGCCTAGTTGTTGAATAAGGCTGGCGATACTCACGAGGTAGTAAGGTTGTGTAGCAAAACGGAGGTGAGGCCCAAAGCCCTACCTGTTCTACTGTTCTATGAGCCAAATGGATTTTGATATGGTCCTTCGACGTCAAATTAACCGTCATGACGCGTTCCCCCAGATTCCATAGACCACAACAAGAGGCTATCAGAGCTCGACCCCTGGGGTTTTAGTCAAAAATATAGATCGTCTCTAGTAGCGCATCGTTAGTAGACTATGCTACTACCTCTTTCTTCATCTAATATTCAACGGATTTCCTTATTCGGTGGGTACATTACTTCAACGACTCTAACGACTTTAACGTGCTGGTCTATTGTCTTAGACCATTATCTGGTCCGGGAGCTCTCGATTTGGTGCCGACGGAGGAGCGACCAAGCCCGGGAAGGCCCTCCGCGCCGCCTGTAGCCGGCGCTTGATGTCACATTTTCTGGCTTGTGACCCCCCAAACCCTATATCAGCTTGGTCTAATAAAGCTTTGGTCGAGCATGGCCGCTATAAAGTTACAAAACTCGCACTATAGCGAGCATTCGTAAAGTACTAAAGCTTGAGTCTGGTGATAAATTCCTCGGACTTCAACCTCCGCTCAGTGCTCTCTCTCCTGAGAATGAGTTCGTCGTCGCTCATAATTAGTCAGGAGCAACATGCAATCCAACCATCCCACCCCCGCATCACCCCACTTCCCGAACCTTACTCCTCCATTGATACATCCTCAAAGTAGCATCACGCCAGTTCAATCATATCTTATAATGAGTATAGGCCATGAGATTCTTCCATTAGTGTTGAAAAGCTTGAGGCATGGTTAATACGTGTTGTATTCATGCTATTTTGTATTACGCTGGCTGTGCTGCATTCTAATTCATATGCCGGAACTAGCCCATCGGGCAAAAATAATATTTCCCAGCATATCTGGTGGTAGTACCGTCAGCGCGGAATTAAAACTGCTCGGCTTTCGGCACTTACCACCATTTCCGCGGTTCCAAGCGCCATATCGTTTCTGGTGCACCTGGTGCAGTGGTTTGACGATGTTTGTCATTCTAACCATAGACTCATAACGACGTCGCCAAAAACTGTTTTACCGATTTTTTGGATCTCCTATCCAATCCAAAGTTCGCTGGACCATAGAGAGCTTCAATCATCTGATCTTCTCGAGTGGACAAGTCCGTAGTTCTCTTCACCCATCATGTTACCGGCGCCGCCCTCTGATCCGCGTAATCGGGCAAGTCATGATCGCGTTCCATGTACTTTGGTAATTGTTCCCCGGTCTCGTCGGGTGTGTAAGAAGATGAGGCCATGTTCCCAGTGGCTACGGAATGCCGTTCATCGTTCCGCTCTGTATCATTCGAGGAGTAACCTGGCACGTTTGTAGGTCGTTCTGGAGGCGATATGCGAGGCGTACTTGGCGACGATAGTGCTTGCAGTTGATAGCTCAATTGAAATGAGCGGAACTGGCTTTGTGTACTTGGACTTCCCATGGTAGTAGGCCCTCTAGCAGGCGACTCTGCCCGCTCCAGGATGGCGGATATAGCTTCTTGGTCGCGCTTGCGTTGTCGAAAGGCCCGAATAGCCCATGCATTGATGCAGATGAAGAAAGTTAAGCTGACACACAGTATCTATACGACAACCATTGTGTTTGTGGTTTCGCGAAGCGAATGACTGGTATCACGGGTGTCCGCGGCAACAGCGTTTGTCGCTTTGATTATTGTGCTGGTACCATACATATTGGTAAGAAACAGCGTGATGAAATGTATGAGAAGAGAGATAATATCGTCGTTTATGTGATAGGCAGAGCTAAACGCAGCGCGGAAAGCACGAACTAAGGTAAAAGATATGGAAATATATAGAAATGGACGAGAGGGCAACATGGATCAATATAGGAAAGAACGAGCGGGCAAATATATATAGGAAGGAACGAAGAGCAATATGAATTGAGATAGGAAAGAACGATGGGTAATATGGATGGTTGAGTTGGGAAAGAACCAGAGGTGATATGGATAAAAGATAGGAAGGAACGGGGCCAAACATGGACAGAAATAGGAAAGTACGAGAGGCAGAGTATAAACAGATAGGAAATTATTCTCGTGAGACCTAGCTTTCCTCTATATGTGATGTATTCCACGACAAACGACATTGAGGCTACTGAACAAAGTGCCTTTTAAGGGTTAAGCTTTGCACTTGTTTAGGAGGACAAAACAATTCGGCGAGAGGTTAAACTCCATGTCGAAATAACGAAGTCGTTGATGATAAATGCGTTTGCTATACATTTTATTTTAAATAATACCGTCATATTATTGTCTCGCATTGACGTTCTAGCCCACGATTTGCCATGGTAGGATTTGTACAAGAGATGTGGGCGTTTAGAGTCTTGAGGCGCGAAGTTGCTCCGTTAAGCGCTAATCTAGGTCAATGCAGCCGCGGGCCCCTGTTCCCCAGATATTTCGTCATAATTGCCGACGCCGCATCGGACCTCGTCAAAACTTTATTTCCTATCGTAGCGGGGTCTACATTCTCAACGCCATTCTCTCGCCGACTCGCTCAATTGTCCTTCCTTCGCTTTCGGATTCCGTGTAATAGCTCAATTGCTTTGCCCCTCCAGATATTTCCGTTGGCTCTAAGCCATTGGAGGATCGGCAATTGCAAAGAGTCACCCTCGGGTATATAGGCGCCATGGCGTCGACGACAAAGGCGCCGGAGAAGCGCAAGGAGAAGCCAAGCGCTCTCCGCTCGGTGATAGCTGGGGCGAGTGCTGGTGCCGTCGAAATTTGTAAGTGCAGCTTGCTTGACAGCAGAGTTTGGTGGTGGGCTGTGTTTTGGAGCATGGGCTAATAATGTGATTGTAGCTATTACCTACCCTGCTGAATGTATGTTGGAACCCTTCCGAGCGACTGCGAAGCTATGGCGTACGACTGAAAATGCTACCTGTTGATTCTCTAGAGATCCTCAAAGAGCACGGTGCCGCCCCAGGAGAGATTGCTCCGCGTAGCTTCGTGGGCCGGATGCGCTCTTGATACCAGAGGATGGAAATATTGACAGGAAGATAGTTGCCAAAACCCGAACACAACTCAACCAACGGTTATCCGGTGCCGATAAGCTCCCATGGCCAAAATTCGGTCCCGCATGGTACGCCGGCTGCACAACGCTGATTATCGGCAACTCCCTGAAGGCTGGAGTCCGGTTCGTGGCATTCGACCAGTTTAAGTCCATGCTGCAAGATGAGAATGGCCACATCTCCGGCCCTCGCACCGTCATTGCCGGCTTCGGAGCTGGTGTGACCGAGTCGTTGCTTGCCGTGACCCCATTCGAGAGCATCAAGACCACACTGTAAGACGGCCTCTCTATCCCCCCCCCCATGGCGCCTGCTGACACTCCTAGGATCGACGATCGCAAAGCTGCCAAGCCCCGCCTACGCGGTTTCCTCCATGCTGTTCCCATCATCGCACGAGAGCGCGGACTTCGTGGCTTCTTCCAAGGTTTCGTACCGACGACGGCACGTCAGGCCGCCAACTCGGCGACACGATTTGGGTCGTACAACTTCTTCAAGCAAATCGCAGAGTCATACGTGGCGCCTGGTGAGAAGCTGGGCGCAGCTAGCACATTCGGTATTGGTGGTCTCGCAGGCCTGATCACGGTGTATGTGACGCAGCCCGTGGACACAATTAAGACGCGCATGCAGAGTATTGAGGCGAAGCACCTGTATAAGAACAGTTGGGACTGTGGGAGTCAGCTTGTGCGGAATGAGGGCTTCCTGACGCTGTGGTCAGGAGCGTTGCCGAGGTTGGTGAGACTGATGCTTAGCGGTGGTATTGTGTTTACTATGTACGAGAAGAGCATTGAGTTGATGGATAAGGTGGATCCGGATAAGAGATACATTTGAGTACTGGAATAGATAGAGAAGGGGCTTCGTTATTTTGTATGTCATACCACCGCTAGACGATGTCAAGGCATCGAATGTAAATTTGGATAATAGATATTATGGGAGCTGAACTACGCCGTCGTCGGGCACTACGGCCGGGCCATGCCCTTCTGGGCTCGAACGCCTGGAGCGTTTATGTTGTGCAGCTACTTGTGCCCCCCACCCCCTACCCCTATGCAGGACGTCCGGTCTATATAGCGCTTAATACGAGTACATTTTAATTCAAAAGGCTAGATGGTCTAGTGGTAAGATGCCCGTCTCTCAATTATCAACCGGTTTTGGATACATCAAAACTCGCCTTCGGCAAGCCCCCGAGTTTGAGGTTGAGAACCGACGGGAGACCCCAGTTCGAATCTGGGTCTGGCTATGTTTCTTGCAATTTTTTGGCCTATTTTTGCCTATTTTGAAGAGGGAGGTTTTACGTTCAAGTCGTCGATGAGGCTTATTGACTGAGGCTTGTGAGGCGGCTGTGTGGCTTCTCACTTTTGTCGCACGCACCCACAGCCACGGAGTTTGAACAACGGCCATTATTTTGGCATTCTACACATCTACGGCTTCTATTTTTTGAACAATTGTTCTACACATATATCACAATAAGTTATAAGTTGTTTAATCGTGTATATATTCCTCTCTATAGTAAAGGTAGGTAGGCGTCCACCAAGAACAATCTTGGCCGTGGAACTTACAACCCGCCCACGATTCTAATAATCACTCGCCTCACTTAATACCTGAAGCAGTCCCCACGCCGGATCATTCAGACTGCGGCCCAGGATACTACCGAGTCTTCCCCCCAGGTATTTCCATTCGTAATCATCTGCACTACATGACATAAATCGTGTACAATCAACATGCTCAGAGCTTCAGTCACTGTCTTCGTCGTCTTCATCATCATCGCTATCTTCTTCCTCCGCTTCCTCCAGCCACGCAATGAAGCCACCTGCCATCGTCCTGACACGTATCATGTGCTCGGTTTCGCTGCTCTTAGGGTCCTTCCACCATGCCTCGAAGCCCTCCTCTTCGATGACTTCTAGGTCGTAAAACTCCTTGCAGAGACTGAAGAGGACAGCCTCTCCCTTATCACGATTGCAGAGGTCCTTTTGGAAGCTCGTGAGGAGATCAGCCTGGTCTCCGACACGCTTGTCCCTACCGAGGGCAACATCAGACAGGAACGCCGTGGCGCCTTCCTGTGCAAGTGTCTGTTTGACGGCCTTGAGCGGCTCAGCACCACCCTCGATGAGCTGCACAATGCGCTTGATGAAACCGACTGCAATGGCACGGTGCATGTGGTGGTCAGTGGCGTTATTACTGAGACGAAGGGAAGTGAATTCTACACGGGTGTTGTGGAAGTCGCCGCTCTCGCTCAAAGTCTTGAACACATCCGCAACAGCGTCCTTGTGGAAGTTTGCGCCACTTGACTCGTCTCCCGAGGCCTCATCATCAGATACCGCGCTTGCGAAACTTGAGTGTCGGGAGCGTGCCTCGGCTTCATCCTCGTCAGAGCCTGCATCGGATCCGATCTGGGAATACGAGTCTTCGGCGATGTTGAGGTGTGCAGTGCTGTAGATAAGGGTGCTGAGAAGATCACGGCAGATATCCTTCTCATCCTCTTCAGCATCTTCGTAGGCATAACCATCGCCTCCTTCACCGACAATAGCGGTGTCTGCTGGCACTCGTGCAAGAGGCTCGCCATCAACGTCTTCGCGCTTGCGCTTTGCTCTAGTTATGCGCTCGCCGGCCTTGACTGTAGTGTTGCTGCCGATTCGAACGGAATATGAAATGAGTGATCCTTCGAGGATGGCTGCGGATTTGCCAATCGCAGCTTCACTGGCGATAATGGACTTCTGGATGTGCGCCCCATCCTCTACGACAACATCGTCCCAGATATAGGAGTCCTCGATGACGACGTTCTTGCCGATTTGACACCTACGGCCAATGATAGAGTTGCTGATAACTGTGCCGTCGCCGATACTGGTTGCTCTCCCGAGTACCGTCTTCTTGCCGACCTTGCAGCTGCGGGCAAGGATAACACCGTCTTCCTTGATTATACCACCAGCGCCACGGTTATACTTTTGATCAATGACCCAGTTGTTGTCAGGAATCATTGGGAACGTCCATCGCCCAAGGATGTCCTTGCTGACGCAGTCATACATCTGGAGCGTGCTAGCTCTTGCAGCGTAATGCTTGTCGACGATTTCAATATGGATAGTCTTTCCATTGAGTTCGTAATCCTTCAGGATATTGTGAAGGAATTGGGATCGTGGCTTCTCTGCGTCGAACGACTCTGACCAAAGAGCCAAGACGTCTGGAGTGCAGATATCGATTCCCGTGTCAATCAAATCGCCACGCATCTCAAACTCAGGCTCCTCCAGTACCTCGACTGGCAGGTCAATGTATTTCCTCTCGTCGAATGGAGTCATCTCATCATAGTGAAGAATGCGAACTTTGCGTGGGTTGTTGACAAACACTGGGACAACCGCTTTAGGCTTCGCCCGGTGTAGCCCAGGCCCGCCGTATCTTGTGATGACCGTCATGATCGCGTTCTTATCGTCGGTCCTTCTCGTTCGGTGCTTCTGGAGTATGGGGCCGATAGGTAAGTTCGAGACAACGTCGGCGTAAGTCAAGAGGAAGTCGCCAGTAATGATACCGCGGCTATCAATCATTCTCATGGCATCTCCGTATGAAGTGGACTGAGAATGAATGAACTCAAGGCTTGAGAATGGCGAGGCGAAGGAGGTCGCAGGGTTCCATTTTGAAGCCAGCAAATATGCTTCCACTTCAAATGTATGCGCCGTGCAGTAGACAATGACCTCTCTGATCCCGTTGAAAGAAAGAAACTCCAAGGTATAGTCAATCATTGGCGTGTTGCCGATTGGAAGAAGACACTTTTTTCATATTAGCCAATGTAATGCTATACAAATTGCAAGATCGCCGCGCATCTAGATCTGAACGTCGCATGGGCAGAACTCACTCTTGGTCGCTCCAGTGAGAATGGGAGGAAGCGCGTCTCGAACGAGTCTGTCAAAACCTGGCGCAAGTTAGAATAAGATAAATTAATAGCTAATAGATATTACATACCACTGCCTGGAACGTCTCCTCGCGCTCATCAGCCTTCTTCGCCTTTGGCGCCATCTTCTTGCCCTTGGCCGCCGGTTTTGTGTTGTTCTTCTGTTGCCCCGCCATGGCTACTGATTTCTTGTCCTCCTTGGGCCGCTGGAAATCCGATTAGCGCCGCGCCGAGAAAACGCGTCCAAGAAATAAGGGCCTATAAGCTTCCAATCGTCATAAACTCGTGGCTGCGCCGCATATACAACGGCTTGAAATACAAAGAGAGACGTCGACCGCATATAAATTTCCCGATTGTTACTCACCCAGAATAGTTCATCGGAAAAACTCTTTCTCCGAGCCGATGAACGGCCGTCGCTTGGCAGCGGATCCATCCCCAGGTATCCTACCAGGTAACCTTGTGACTGGTAGCTAGATGATCACGATGCACACAGCAGTTCACAGCAACAGATACTGCAAAACCGCCTCGAAGTTGCGTTGAAACGACATAAATAACTGGGATGATGTCTGATGTGTGTTATTTCTTTGAGAAGTAATGTTTGCTGGCGTCAATACCAGGTCCTTCTCTGGGCGAAATCGCGCTAGCAATAACACACCCCGCTACAATCAACAGCTCTCCTAGCAGGATGGCCTCACACATATTATCGCGGTTCCTACCGTCTAACAACATGGCACCGTCGATCTACGAAGACTTGAGGGCTGGCGACCATGGGATGTCAGACCCCGGAGATATCGAAGAGCGAGCTGCCATGGCCATCGACGAGGAGAACCTTTCAACCCGATACCAAGACTACGAGCTCCATGAAGACCTCTTCGACGGTCATGAAAGCCGCATGACGACAGAAAGCACAGCATTTCTTGCACAGCAAGTAAGAAAGAAACCACACAAGAGTCCCGGCAGGGATCGGAGGTCGAAGGGTGGCGCCAAAGCCAAATGGCTATCGCGCTCACCGAGGATGCTGGGCGATGATGGCGACGATGACGTTCCAGCTTCTTTACTGATCGAAGAAGAAGAGGAGGGTGGAGGACCAAGTCATCCAGCGGCCCAACAACACTCCCCGCGACCAGCTAAGATTGCTCCCATAACAGGAACTGCAACACAAAACGCCCAGGCTCGATGGGCTGCAGTACAAGAGCAGCAACGGCTGCACGATGACATAGGAACCACTCGGCCAAAGGCAGCTGTTCCCAAACCCGGGATATTCTCTGCGAGTCGAAAAGAGAGGGCGATGTGGATGTGGATAAACGTCACAAACTTGGATCGGTTTATGGGAGAGATTTATGCATATTATCGTGGGGCTGGGATATGGCCCATATGCCTGGACAGGCTGCTCAACCTTCTACGCATTGTATTCGTTGCGACGTTTACAACCTTCCTCACACAGTGTGTCGATTACAGCAAGATAAGGCATAGCACATCTATGTCACAAATTGTTGTCCCACAATGCACGAAAAACATGTCTGGGATGCCAAACTTTGCGATATGGCTGTTGGTATTATATCTCATATATCAATCCATATTAGATATTGTCGACATCTCCCGCTTGAGGAGGATGCAGGACTTCTATCTGTACCTGTTGGAAATCCCTGAGAGCGACATGCAGACGATATCGTGGCAGGAGATAGTGGCGAGGCTGATGAACCTGCGCGATTCGAATCCGATTCTAGCAGACAAGGTTTCACCAGCACTACGCCACTTCATGGGCACTCAGTCTAAGCAACGCTTGGACGCCCATGATATCGCCAACAGGTTGATGAGGAAGGAGAACTACCTTATTGCGTTGTTCAACAAGGAAATTCTTGACTTGACTCTCCCCATCCCGTTTTTCAGAAATCGCCAGCTGTTTTCGAGGACCATTCAGTGGAACTTGAACTTCTGTATCCTCGATTTCATATTTACCCCTGAAGGGCAAATTCAGCAGATGGTGCTGAAGGATAGCAAGAGACGGCAATTAAGCGACGCTCTTCGCAGCAGGTTTCTGTTCGCGGGGTTGATGAACATTATCTGTGCGCCTGTTATTGTCTTATACACACTTATTGTGTATTTCTTCCAGTATTTCAATGTAAGTATTGCGTCTGCCTCGAATTTCATCTGCTTACAAGACTATAGGAATACCACAAGAATCCGGCGGCACTTGGGTCGCGACAGTACACCCCACTCGCGGAATGGAAGTTTAGGGAGTTCAACGAACTCCCTCACCTCTTCGACAACCGCGTAAACATGTCCTACCCATTCGCATCACGCTACGTCGAGCAGTTCCCCAAGATCATGACCGTCCAAATAGCACGATTCGTCGCCTTCGTCGCCGGCGGCATAGTCTCCATCCTCGCCCTCGCCTCCATCATCGACCCCGAGCTCTTCCTCGGTTTCGAAATCACCCCCGACCGCACCGTTCTCTTCTACCTCGGCGTAATGGGCACCCTCTGGGCCGTGGCCCACGGCGCCGTGCCCCCTGACAACCAAGTCTTCGACCCGGAATACGCCCTCCGCAACGTGATCGACTACACGCACTACATGCCGAAGCAGTGGAAAGACCGGCTCCACACCGACGAAGTCAAGCGCGAGTTCGCGGAACTATATCAGATGAAAATAGTCATCTTCCTCGAGGAGGTACTGAGTATCATATTCACCCCCTTGGTGCTCTGGTTCACCCTCCCCAAATGCAGCGATCGCATCATCGACTTCTTCCGCGAATTCACAGTCCACGTCGATGGTCTCGGCTACGTCTGCTCCTTCGCCGTGTTCGACTTCAAGAAAGGCGTAGGCGGCAGCGCCGTCCCCCCCGGAGCAGGGAACGCCGCAGAAGGGTTGAGAGATGAATATTACTCCACCAAGCACGGCAAGATGGCTGCGTCCTACTACGGCTTCTTAGATAACTACGCTACGAACCCCAAGACTGGAATCCCAGGCCACGTGCCCCCGGGCATAAAACACCAATTCCACCCCCCTCCCTCCTTTCCAGGGTTGATGTCCCCATCTCTCACGGCGGACATGCAGACTTCCCGCCTTGGCGGTCAACATCAACATAAATCCCGTCCTGCGGGCGCAGGGCTAATACCAAGTCGCACACCGCGCTTCCCATCCACCCCCGCCGCGGCGCACGCATCGCCTATGCCCTCTATGCTACTCGACCCGCACCACCAGCCCTCAACTACTGGCTTCGGCGGCGGGGGTAAGAGTTTCCACGGCGGCCCGTCGGGGAGGTGGAGGGGTCAGCAGCCTAGGAGTATTATTGAACAGCCGCTTGAGGATGGGGAGGAGGAGGAGGCGCCCCCGGTGCCGTCGATGCCGAATGAGAGTAGTGGGCTTGATGCGTCTGTTTGGGAGACTTCGCCGGCGAGGAGTGGGATTGGAGCGGTGGAGGGGGGGGATGGGGGCGATGGGGATGATGGAGGGGTGGGAGGAGGGGTGTTGGGGTTGTTGTATCAGTTTCAGAAGGCGCAGACGGACACGAGGCCTGGTGTTAATATTTAAGGATGGGGGGGGGGGTTTGGTTGTTTAGAGCGTTTGTTTTTAAGAGGGGGGAGGTTGCGTTTATAGCGTTTTAGGGGCGTGCGTGGTTGTGTTTATAGGGGCAGGAGGGTGTTTGCTATTTTGGCGGGTGCTGGTGGTGTTGATGTGGCTTTGGGGGTTGGGATGGTGGGAGAGCATGTGATGGAGTAGAAGCGCATACCGAACATTCTCGGTGATGAATCGGGGATGCATCGGGGATACCGGGTACCTCGGGGCTGAGGTCGTATATTGCTATTTTTGTGGAGTGGAGCATCAAATCAAATCTGCCCTTCCTTTTATCGGAGGATAGAGGAGTAGAACAAATGAATTCGCCCATTACAAAGAATTGCCACGTCGTCTTTGATTGCGTGGACTCTTCTTAACCTCACTGTCGTATCACATGGCGCTTGTCCCATTCCCTCAACGCTTACCTGACTACTCCATGTATGACCAACATCGGTACGACCCAGTAACCGGCTGAGGAATAATCAGATCCGCGTTAATGTGCAGCTGCCTAAATCGACGCCCTTCGTTTGGTTTTTTGTGGAGTGGGTGGTGGTCTGTGTGGAGGGTTTATCAGATCGAATTTTCGCGCCAAGAGGGGGTATGTGTTGGCTGTTGCGAATGCCGAGAGGGGAGTGAGATGAGATAGGAGATTAGGGGCACAGGCTGGGAGATGGGGGAGAGGAGGGAGTAGATGAGGATATTATTGTATGAGGATTATAGAGTAGGAGTGTATATACTGATTATAGTGATCATTAGATCATTACTGTACTCTACAGAGTCACATTGTCGGACTCCTCGGTGTCTTTCCTACGCCCTCACTTACTCACTCACCCAACCCACGGCTTCACGGCTATATCTACCGCTTATGTCAGCCACCACCTCCTCGGCCCATCATTTCTCCCAACCCCTGTTCTTCCCTATCCGGTTTGGTGGTTAGTTTGTTAGGTTAGTGTAGAATCCCCTTCTGAACCCAGGCGAACCCAAGGTCAACTAGCGTCTCCAAAACAACCGCCGTTGGCTTTGTACTTGCAATTATTTTAGCTCCGTTCTCCGGTTTCCCAAATACTTATCCCTCGGAATTGGGCGAAGCAAACACAACATACTCTTTTTGAACAGAACGAAACGATTATATCCGCCTTTCGTCATTGGAGATAATATTGCTTCTCCCCCAAACCAACGACACATCAAACAAACGAACGCTTTTGAACGCCCGTCAAAGAGACACAGCTCACTACGTCTTTCTGTCGAACTAGCTCACCAGCGTCATCTTCTTCTCATCGCTTTCCCCAAAAGCGAACGGAGGAGACCCAGCGAACAGAAGCCTTATCCCCCGGGAATCCGTCAAATCGGGAACACTGGCGCTGCAACCAGAGGCTTACGGCGGTCCAGCGACCGCTGTAGGTATGGCTCAGAGCGCGAGCGATGTCCCGCTCGAGGAATATGAGTGAGTTGCCCAGGACTATCCCCCCAGCTGTCGGCAATTGGCTTACATGTGTGTTTGTTTAGTTATGAGGGTTTACCTCCGGTATGACACTTCTCGATAGATACAATGGGGCCAAAGATGGAGGGCTAATGAATGGGATACAGAATTTCAGCTTGTTGCAAAACATGACAGCCGGTGCGGTGGCGGGGATTGCTGTATGTTTCCGCCCTTTCGTCAACAGGACGCAGGGAGACTGACTTTTTGGAAATAGGAACACACAGTCATGTACCCCATCGACTCGATCAAGGTATGTTCTGTTGCGCACCAATATTTATTTCCGATTTCTGTCCCCAAGGGCCTTGGCTAACTCGGCACCAAAAACAGACTCGCACACAACTCCTCGGCGCCATCCAGCCACGCACGGTGTATAACATGAAATGGGCCATCGGGCTATGGAGAGGAATGTCTAGTGTTGTGGTGGGAGCAGGTTAGTTCTTATCCTTGATTTCTGTCTGGCAGTGACATTTTTTTTGACTGACGATATGCGATTTAGGTCCCGCACATGCGATTTACTTCGCGACCTACGAGGCTGTCAAGCACTTGATGGGCGGTAACCAGGCGGGACTCCACCACCCCCTCGCTGCTGCCACCAGCGGTGCCTGCGCTACCATCGCCAGCGACGCGCTCATGAACCCCTTTGATGGTAACCCTCCCCCCCCCCCCCCCCCCCAAGCCTCACTAACACCCCCCAGTCATCAAACAACGCATGCAAATCCACGGCTCCAAGAAGCTCTTCCGCACCATGCCCGACTGCGCCCGCTACGTCTTCCGCACCGAAGGCCTGCGCGCCTTCTACGTCTCCTACCCCACCACGCTCTCCATGACCGTCCCCTTCACTGCGCTCCAATTCCTCGCCTACGAATCGATATCCACCTCCATGAACCCGACCAAGGCCTACGACCCCGTCACGCACTGCGCAGCTGGCGCGGTAGCGGGAGGCTTCGCGGCGGCGCTGACGACGCCGATGGATGTGGTCAAGACGATGTTGCAGACGAGGGGGTCGGCGAGCGATGCGGCGCTGAGGAATGTTAATGGGTTTGTGGAGGGGTGTAAGTTGTTGCATCAAAGGGAGGGGTATAGGGGGTTCTTTAAGGGGGTGAAGCCCAGGGTTATTACGACGATGCCTAGTACGGCGATTTGTTGGTCGGGGTATGAGGCTTGCAAGTATGTTTTTCCCCGTCCCATTTTACTTTTTTTGTCATTCCTTTACTATTTTGATCGTCGCATACTAACAACCATAACCACAGGGCATACTTCATCCGTCGCAACGACTCAATCCTATAAACCACCCACCCATCACCCCCCCCCCCCAGCCCACGAGGCGCAGCACAGCCCCGAACATCCATAACCCGGCTCTCGCGCGCGCACACAAATCGTTATCTTCCCATTTAGCCTGACCACCACCACGCACCGCCAAGCGACATCGGAAGTCCCCCAAACCAAACCCCGAACGCGAAATACGTCCTTTTCCCTATGCATGCATGCATGCGTGTGTAACCACGTATCCCTGCCAAACCCCGGTCTTGGCGACACGGCTTCATCAGATAACGGCCCGGCGGCTTCGTCAGCGTCGTCAGCGCGGAGATATCTGATCCTCGGAGTCGGCGCGGGGTGCGGAGATACATACATACGGGCTTTTTTCGCCACCGGACCGACCGGGCGATTTGTTCGCATACGATAAGAAAAAAAACTGTACATACTGTTCCTATTCCTACTATTATTATTTTTGTGTCTCTCATGGCGCGCGCAAGCGTGCGCGCTAGGGGGTTTTCGGTTTTGTCTCTGTCTCTTTGTTTTCGGCGGGGGGTTGGTTGAACGTCGACGTTTTCATGAGTGGTTCTGCATGTATAGACAGTCTTCCTTGGGGTGGCGGGATGCGAAAGGGAGCTATTTGCTTGTTTTTGCCTGAGAAAAGAGGAGGAGGAGGAGGATGAGGGGCGTTTTTTTGAATTTTTTCAGGGACGATGGCGATGGATCGGACTGGAGTGTGTGTAGTGTATAAATATGATGAGGGGTCGGATTCGGATTCATAGCGTGTGGGGGGGGAGTGGAAAAGCTGATTCTTATCCGAATACTGGTTGATGGTGCATGTGATGTGATGTGAGAAGTTGGCCAATGCTTTGTTCTATCTATGCTTCGTATATATACCCCCCCCCCAAAACTGCCTACAACTCATCCTTCACCCCCTTAGTAGTCTCCGCCTCCATAGTCCTACTCTTCTCATTCCTCCCCTCTTCCTCCTCCAGTGTCCTACTCTTCTGGTTCTTGGCCCCCACCTCCTGCTCCCCCCCATTCTTCGCCGCCCTAAAAACCCCTGCAATCTCCTCATCATAAACCCCCCACTCCGGCACCTGCCTCCTAGCCCTCTCCAACTTCGGCTCCTTCGTCAACGGGTTATTACAAAGATCAATCGTCTTCGCCCCCGCGAGACTCTCATCACTACACCAAGTCTCGCACCACAACCACTCCTGCGGCAGACTAAAAATGGGAAGATGCGCCTGCATATGATTCGGCAGATCCTGGTCCAGGTTCGCCAGACTCCCTGGGTCGGCACTGAGTTGGTGGTATTGCTGCCTCAATCGGTCGCCGGCGGCGATCTCGCGGAAGCGGCGAAGGTCGACGACGTACAGGGCTGAGATGTGGTAGGGGAGCCCGCGCAGGAAGGATTTCCAGTACCCTTGTTTCCAGAAGCGGAAGCCTTCCATTTCGGTGCGGGAGTCGCACATGGGGGTGAAGCCGTAGGGGGCGCCTTGGAGGTCGATATCAACCAATTCCCGCATATCGGTACGCACGATTTGGTCTGCGTCGACGAAGATGACTTTATCGAGGGACAGGGGGAACAGGACGTCGAGGAAGAGGATTTTGTATCCCCAAATCTCGCGCTGCTTCTCGGACTGCGCGCGCAGCCAGTGAGGCCACTTATACGTCACCATCTCGTAGTCGAAGCCGTAGGCCGCGGCGAGGGAGGGGATGGATTGCTTGAAGGAGGGGGAGAGGAATTGTTCGATGAACCAGAATTTCACCGTGTGGTTCGTGTGCTTCATCACGCTGACCATCATGATGTTGAGCATGCGCTCGTAGAGGTGGCCGCTGGCGACGGAGAAGATGTTGATTTCCGCTTGCGTGGTTTGCACCGCGGTGGTGGACTTCTTGCTGCCGAAGTTGAGGATGTTTTGGGCGAGCTTGCGGCCCTTGCTGACGATGTCGTCTTTTAGGTCTGTGGTAGGCTCGAGGACGTCTTCGGTTTCTTGGCCGGGGTTGCGGGAGAGTTGCGGGAAGAGGGTCAGGCCTTGGAAGCTGATGAGGGAGATTTCGGTGGTTTCGTCTGGTTGTGCGGCATCGCGTCCTGAGGCTCCGAGGGTGTCGATGCTGTAAATCTTGGAGCTGGGGCCCTCTTGGAGATTTATCTTGTAGAATCCTGGATTCGCCTTGAATTGGAAGTAACCAAGGTTGGCCATGATGATGGTATCGGCAAAGTGGGCATCGGCTGCAGTACCCAAGAGAAGTTGGGCCCCTCTTGGAGCTTGTCCGGTCTCCTTCTCTGATGAGTGTCCTTCGATTAGGATGTGCTGTAACTCGTAGACAGCATTGACATCGCCGTTAACGGAACTCAACTTGATGTTGTCCAAATCGGTAACAGATTGCTTCGGTGCTACAAGCCATGGAGCTGGCACATCCATGCCCACTGTCAGCAGAGCTTCCTGAGGAACGCTCACAAACTGCGCTTTGATATCCTTCAAACTGCCATCGGCATTAAACATCGGCTTTGACTCTAGGACATAACGGTAGAAGCGCTTGATCGGGATCTCCTTGAGTATATCCTTAGGGTTGAGAAACAGTTTCAGGTATACTCCATCTAGCTCCGACAGCACCTTCAAGATTGGAATCGAGCGCTGGGATTCCTGACTCGCCGGGTCCAGCGCGACTTGAATATGAATAGAAGCAGTGGACTCATCACCGATTTCAATCGCCGTAAACTCGGATTTCCAGGCCTTGAAGGAGTCGATTCTCAAAGTAGACGCTTGCTCGAAAATTCCCTCGGGGACATTGGAAATAAACGACAAAGTCACAAGTGATGTGAGTTTAGAGCTCGCCAGCGGGTCGCTGATTGCATCGGAGAATCCGAGAGCTTTAACAGCCGCCAAAACAGGCTTGATTCTCTTGGTTCGCTCAAAGCTGAGGAGCTGGTCCAATTCATTGACTCCGAGCTCGACCTCGTTCGGAATTGGGCCGACCAATCGACCATTTAACAGAAGTCCTTGTTGACCAGGTTTTAGTCCCAACGATCCCACAAGGCCTTCTATCGCGGACCATTTTTCCGAGATCTGTGTTGTAATCTGCCTTTCTTCATCGCCAGCGGTTATTGACACCGCTTCGACAAGGCTATCCAAATCATCGACAGATTTCAGTGGTTGGAACGATCTTTTAGCCATATACTCGTGTACGCTCAAGATTCCTGCTGGAGACTCTGAACTGGGGACAATAACAAGTTCAACTGAAGGGTTCTTCTTGATGAACTCAGCTGCCGCCATTAAAAGCCGTTTGCCTTGTGCGCTCTCCACGTCAGCTATCAGAATCATGTATGCCCAGTCATCTTGCACAGTGGAGGGGTCGCTTTTCATAACAGGAAGGCCTTCCAATGCCTCGGCATAATCAGAGTAAATGGCGTTGACATCAAACAGTTGAAGATCTTTGTCGTTCTCCGGCATGAGAAAGGGGTTTCGGCCAGAAGCGGCATCGTGCAGGTACAGCATTGGAGGCCAGTGATCATCAGTCACGGTATTTTCGAAAACTGCCTGCTGCATAAGTCGGAGATCCATCTGAACACGCTGGCTCATCCCTTGCATCCAGGTCTCATCGCGCGGCACAGCAGCTCCATTCACAAACACCGGGGGTACTTTGTCGTTTGCTCCAAGTCTGGCGCTCCATTGTTTCGAATGTTCGATTGACCCGTTTGCTTCATCTGCGTCCAGGACCTCTTCCAATGATTTGGCTACTTTGTCGCCCAGGAGTTTACGCTCCTCGATTGCAGCTTCAAAATTGGCATTTCTCGACGATGGAGTTCCCTTCGAGGCAAAATATCCGTTGAGGTAGGCCACCATAGTTGACAAACCGTAACTGTCCAGTAGGTAATAGGCAATCTTGGCCTGTTCAAGAGCAGCATTGGAGTTTGTCAGCGGTACCAGACCGAATCGTAACGGCAATGCCCTTTTAACAAATTCTGATAGTTGGGTGACGACGAGTTCTACATCCTCAAGATTTGACAAGTCGACGGGGAAAACCAGATTGAACAGGTCTTTCCGTACTTGAGGCAATTGCCCTGGATATCCTGCTTGTAAAAGCTGCAGAGCTATCAGTAAACCCCAAAGTTAATATTTGCAATTCCCACATACCGTTCTAACAGTTGTCATCCATCCGTCATAGCGCTTGTCTTTTTCTATGTTGTTTAGCCATATGATGACATCTCCGTCGCTGTCCCTCCAATCAAACCTCGCAGGTTCACCGTCAGCCTTTGTAAAGGCAATATCTTTATGAGACAGGAGGCTGATCGTTTGCGACCCGGTCAACCCGAGCTGAGAAAACTTTTTCAAATGCTTCCTTTCCTTCCGCAGTATGTCAAGCATGCTGAAGGCATCCATGTGCCTCGCCGGTACTTGCAAACCATTGATCCAAACAACATTCGTACCGGCTGGCACTAGCTGACCGCGGTTATAAAGATGCTCCTCGGCAAAATCAGATGATACATTATGAGCGGCGATGGCCGATGAATATCTCGGAAAGTCTTGCGAGAGTCGAGTCAACACCTCAAAGGGGTTTTCGTTTTGCATAATAAAACTCGATGCTTTTAGCCCAAGAGAGACCAGTTCAGATGCCGAAAGCGGCTTCAAGTCCGCAAGTTCTTCATCCTCAAGAACAACTTCTGCCTTTGCCGACCCCACTTGCACTTGAGCCTCAGCTTCTCTATCATCAATGACTATGTAGTCTGTGCGCTTTAGAGCTAATTCGACACCATATCCACCGATGATAAGAGGCCTGGGTTCCTGAGCAGTCGGCTTCTTGTGGCGGATGCGGTATGATATCTCTTGTTTCTGTGCTTTTTGGATTAATTTTTTATGGAATTGGCTAAACTCCGGAGACGTAATATCAGCATAAAGAATGGAAGCTGGCGCGGACAGATTCCCAGTAATTCTATCAAATTGAAGCTGTTCAGTTCCTCTAGTTTATATTAGTGATAGTTGCATAAGACCCCAAAAATGATAAATGTCTCACCTTCGGCCATTATATGTGCCATGGGCCTCGTCTAGTGCCGGAGAGCAATGCTTCTTGCCCCCAAAGAGAACCCATGCGAGGCATGATGAATCGTCTCCTGACGGCTCAATAGCGGTGTCGTAAAATTGGTATTGGGCTTCAATTCTTGGGGCAGAAGTCCGCAGAGAAAGCGCAAGACTATAGGATGCGAGTCCCTCTGAGTCGAGGTGTCCATCATCTCGGAGCACCTTCACGAAGGAGTTGTACAATTCAAGGTCTGTTCTCGCATCTTTAAAGTGTCCCTCTGCGATTCGGTCTAGTAATGGGAAGTATGAGGTTGAATTTTCGTCTCCGGCAGTTTCACTATGGCAATTTAGTAATGGTTATTGACCAATACCGGCATTGATGGACTCACAGCAACTCGATAAGATATGGCGCAGAGGTGAATGAAGCTGCCAACGCAACGTTTATAGTCGGGCTCGCCGAGACTTTAATAGACTGCAGACAGGAAAACGCGAGGGCGCTGCCAGTCAGGCTCCATATGTTCCCAAGCTGAACCATTGCGGTCTAATTTAGGTTCCTCACAGTCCAGGCCAAGGAAAGGTCAAGACGGATTGGGTTCCAAGAAAGCTTCCATATAACGAGTCCTCCTTCAAGAAAGAGATGGAACAGTAAACATGCCACAGCGATACATAGCCTACAATCTGGAAATTCGAAAGCTACAAAATATACAGCATAACCGCCTCCAGAGTACAAATAACTAACAAGGTTGACGAGGCTGATACAAATTCTGGACACGGTTGAGAGCTATCAAAAGCGGTTAGCGTGCATGTGTTTGAGCCTGAGGTTTCCACGGGAAAGCCACCTTGTTGCGCTTTGGGGGCACCACACAATAATCTCCAGATACTGTAGCTGCACTCGCACATTCAGTAGCAACTTTCTTTTACTCCGCCCTTTGATCTTATATTTATTTCTCCAATCTGGGCAGGAAAAGGAGGCTCAGAAACGGCTTGTGTTTGCCGCCCCGACCGCCCCCCCTTGATGCTCGAAGCTTGAGCTTCACCCATCCCGCCTTTTGACCATGGCGGCCTCCCCAAATATGCTCACCAAGGTTCGCACGCCCAGAATAATGCATTGAGCATCTGAATTTGTGTATCTATGAGCAAGCTAACATATTGCTTCGTACAGTTCGAATCGAAGTCGTCTAGGGCGAAGGGCATTGCATTCCATCCCAAACGGTTGGTTGCCTTCATAGTCAGTCGCAAACTATACTGATGCATTCCAGGCCATGGATTCTTGTTTCTCTGCACTCTTCGACAATTCAGCTATGGGATTATCGTATGGGCACATTAATAGACCGCTTCGAAGAGCATGATGGGCCAGTTCGTGGCATCGACTTCCACCCGACCCAACCCCTCTTCGTCTCAGGTGGGGACGACTATAAAATCAAAGTCTGGTCGTTACAAACAAGGCGCTGCCTATTCACCCTCAATGGACACTTGGATTATGTCCGCACAGTCTTCTTCCATCATGAGCTGCCCTGGATTATCTCGGCATCTGATGATCAGACAATTCGTATCTGGAATTGGCAGAACAGGTCGTTAAGTAAGTACCCGTATTCTGTCGATGAATACCAACTGACGTCGGCCTCTAGTATGCACAATGACTGGCCACAACCATTACGCAATGTGCGCTCAGTTCCATCCCAAGGACGACCTTGTAGTTTCTGCCTCTCTCGATCAGTCGGTTCGAGTGTGGGACATCTCGGGTCTCCGCAAGAAGCACTCTGCCCCAACATCGAATGTGTACGAAGACCAGATGGCCCGCCAAAATGCCAACCAGGCAGATATGTTCGGAAACACAGACGCTGTCGTCAAATTTGTGCTAGAGGGACACGATAGGGGTGTCAACTGGGTCGCGTTCCATCCTACGCTGCCATTGATTGTTTCGGCTGGTGACGATAGACTGGTCAAGCTTTGGCGCATGAGCGAGACCAAGGCTTGGGAGGTCGACACATGCCGCGGGCATTTCCAGAACGCGTCTGGCTGCCTCTTCCACCCGCACCAGGACCTCATCCTTTCTGTTGGCGAAGATAAAACGATTAGAGTATGGGATCTGAACAAGAGGACGTCAGTCCAGTCGTTCAGGCGCGAAAATGATAGATTTTGGGTTATTGCGGCGCATCCGGAGATAAACTTGTTTGCGGCTGGCCACGATAATGGAGTTATGGTTTTCAAGCTGGAGCGCGAGCGCCCTGCCTCTGCAGTCTATCAAAACAACCTTTTCTTCATCACCAAGGACAAGCAGATCCGTTCTTACGACCTTACGAAAAATATCGAGAGCCCCAACTTGGAGACAATCAAGAAGCTTGGCAGCCCGTGGATTCCTCCTCGTACATTATCTTACAACCCGGCTGAGCGATCTGTCCTTGTGGCATCGCCTGCTGAGGGGGGGACCTATGAGCTGATTGTTCTTCCAAGGGATGGTGGCATCCCTGATGAGAAGCTCAAGAAGCGTGGTCCTGGTAACTCTGCCGTCTTTGTGGCTCGCAACCGTTTCGCCGTGTTCAACCAGGCAGCACAGCAGATCGATATCAAGGATCTTTCCAACTCCACAACTAAGACGATCAAGCCCCCCGCAGGTACTTCGGATATCGTTTTCGGCGGAACTGGCAACCTATTACTGATTACGCCAACGGCTGTGCACTTATACGACATTCAGCAGAAGAAGAATGTGGCAGAGCTCGCAATTAGCGGCGTCAAGTACGTTGTCTGGTCCAACGATGGAGCGTATGCTGCTCTGTTGAGCAAGCACAACGTTACTATTGTTACAAAGACATTGGAACAAGTCAGCACACTCCACGAGACAATCAGGATTAAGAGCGCCACTTGGGACGATGCCGGCGTGCTGCTATATTCTACACTCAACCACATCAAGTATACCCTGCTGAATGGCGACAACGGCATTGTGAGGACTTTGGATCAAACAGTGTACCTTGTTCGCGTCAAGGCACGCACTGTATACTGCTTGGATAGAAACGGGAGGCCCAAGGTTCTCAACATCGATCCCACCGAATACAGATTCAAGCTGGCCCTTGTTAAGCGCAACTACGAGGAGATGTTGCAAATTATTAAGAACTCCAGTCTTGTTGGTCAAAGCATCATCTCGTATCTGCAAAAGAAGGGTTACCCGGAAATTGCGCTTCAGTTCGTTCAAGATCCTCAGACACGTTTCGAGCTGGCTATCGAATGTGGCAATCTCGACGTTGCTGTTGAGATGGCAAAGCAGCTTGATAAGCCTAAGCTCTGGACGCGACTAGGCACCGAAGCTCTTGCCCATGGAAACCATCAAATTGTCGAGATGACATACCAGAAACTTCGCCAGTTTGATAAGCTTTCCTTCCTTTACCTTGCTACAGGTGACGACGCGAAGCTTGCACGTATGGCAAAGATTGCTGAGCACCGTGGCGACTTCACCGCCCGCTTCCAGAACGCTTTGTACCTCGGCGATGTCAACGACAGGATCCAGATCTTCAAGGAGATTGACCTATGTAAGATATCAGTACCCCTCCTATTGGACGTATGCTAACCATACCAGACCCGCTAGCATACATGACCGCTAAGGCTCATGACCTGACCGAAGAATGTGAGAGCATCCTCGAGGCAACTGGATTGACCGAAGACCAAATCACGCTCCCCGCAATTGGCGTCCCGCTCTCTACCCCCAGAGCGGTGGTGTCTACTTACAAGGCCAACTGGCCAACCAAGGCCACGTCGCAATCATTCTTTGAGAAGGCACTTCTCGGCCAAGTTGAGGGTCTCTCATTAGAGGATGAGCCTGCTGCTGCAACTAACGGCTTCGGATTTGAAGATGAAGATGAAGGTGTCGCGAAACAGAACGGCAACCTGATCGACGCTGATGAAGAAGATGATGCTGCTGGCTGGGATATGGGCGATGATATCGTTCCAGAGGCCGAGAGCGATTTCGTCAACATCGAAAGCGCAGACATCGGCGTCGGGAGCAGCGAGGCCGAATTATGGGCCCGCAACTCTCCGCTTGCTGCGGACCACGTCGCTGGCGGTTCATTCGAAAGTGCTATGCAGCTCCTCAACAGACAAGTTGGCGCGGTGAACTTCGCACCTCTAAAGCCCCGCTTCATGTCGATCTTTGAGGCTTCGAGAACATACGTCCCCGCATTCCCAGGCCAGCCACCGCTTGTCAACTACGTCAGGAGAACTTTGGATGAGACAAATCCCCAGAGCGTTCTGCCATTCATTCCAGATGACCTGGAGTCTATCGCGGCCAACTTCCTGCAAAAGGGATACGATTCTGTCCGCACCAACAAGCTCGAGGATGGGGCTGTTATCTTCAAGCAGATGCTTCACGCGCTGCTTGTCAACGTGGTGCCTACTCCATCTGAGGTTAACGAGGCCAAGAAGCTCATCACTTCGGCGTCCGAGTACAGCGTTGCGATTGCTATCGAGCTGAGCCGCCGCAACCTCGGCACCAACGACGAGGTTGCCAAGTCGCCAGAGAAGTTAAAGAAGAGCCTCGAGCTTTCCGCATACTTCACCATCCCCAAGCTCGAAGTTCCACACAGACAGCTTGCGCTGATGAGCGCGATGAAGCTGGCATACACCAACAAGAACTTGAGTTCCGCATTAAGCTTTGCCAACCGTATACTAGCCAACGGCGGTGGAGCAAAGGTCTTGGAACAGGTAAGACTCCCCCCCCGCTACCCCGCAATCCCCGAATACATTTACTAACTTTACTGTCTTCAACAGGCCAAGAAGATCAAAGCCTCATGCGAGCGCAGCCCCAACGACGCGCATGAAATCGAGTTCGACCAGTTCGCCGAGTTCGATATCTGCGCCGCCTCCCACACACCCATCTACAGCGGCAGCGCCTTCGAGACCTGCGCCTTCGACGGCAGCAAGTACCAGTCCAAGTACAAGGGCACGGTGTGCGCGGTGTGCGAGGTGTGCGAGGTGGGGAAGAATGGGAGCGGGCTGAAGCTTATCGCGTAAATGTGTTGTTTTGTGATGACTTCCGGCGCGCGCGTAAATAGGCAAAAGCTCCGAAGGGGAGGGGGAGAGGGGATGAGAGAGGACTCGGAGTTCGGGTAAAAGTAGATAGCTGAAACTTTTGTGGAGGTACTACTAGCATTAGTTGTTGTCTTTTGAGATTTTAATGTTTGATGAAATATCTAGAGCTCGTTCTGTTTTCTCTGGGGGGGTGATTTGAAGCGGTGCTGCTGCGAGATATGGCTCTTGGGCATTTATGAGCCAGCTTCTACAACGATCACGATTACAGATATAGTCATCTCTAACCTAACTATAGTCGTCGTCAACAAAATCATCCCAGATATGAAGTCCCCTCAAACGGACCCTCCCGCACTGTACCTGTCCGCCTGTCCTGACGGGAGGGAGCGTACCTGTCGCCAAACCCAAGGGGACCCAGCCAGGTCCCACCCAAATCCCGTTAGCACCCCACCCACCCCTCCACCCACACGCCCACCACGCGCCGCACCACCACCGCCGGGCAGCGACAGGGATGCTCACCAGCCCCCTCCAAACCGTCAATGTCGTCACAATCACCGCCGCTCCTCACTTCGTCGCATCGTCGCATCACCGCTCATTACTAAAAAAACTCAAATCCATCGGATCCGCTCATTACTATTACACTATCACAACTTTAAACCGAATCAATCGCCGCGGACGCACGACGGATTCGCCCCGACAAGTCACGGGGTGAAAGGCGCGTAGGCCCAACCGACGTGGCACGCTTCGCGCCAGGAACGGGACCCAGATAGCACAAATAGCGCGATTCGACGGGTGGAGGGCGAGAGGACGTGTCGCTGTGGGTGTTGCTCCACGACTGTGACTGCGCTGCGCTGCGGTGAGTGCTGGTGTACAGTCATTCAGTCGGTGGTGCTGGTAAGGTGCTGTTGCTGTGCTGTAGCTGCCTGAGAGTGAAAGAAGGGGGGTTTATAACGCGGGTGGTACCCTGGTGTCTTGCGAGGAAAATTATCAACGACACGAATTGAACGACAAACGAACAAATCTGATACTGTGCGCATCGTCGCCATCGATCGAGCAGAGACATCATTTATCATATCATAACTACGAAAATCCTATACTCGATATTCGAGAAAGGAAAGGGAATAGGAATAGGAAAACGAAAGCAAAGAAGCAAGGCGCAATGGCAAGCACCACCATCTCCGACCTCACCGAAGTGCGCCTCGTGCGCCGCAAGTACCGCTGGCCCGCCGCGCAGCTCAATTTCTGGCTCTTCATCGTGTTGGTCTCGTGTAGTAGCGTGTTGGGGATCTTTGCGAGTTTCAGCTCTATACAGTCGCAGCTTGGTGTTGGGACGCCTTGGTACGTTTTCCCTGTTCTCACTTATCAATTACCTTACCCCCTTGGATTGAACTGTACTGTACTGGGATAGAAGGTGATAGAAGCTAACAAACCCAGGTACTTCACCTACAACATCACCATCGGCGCCCTTGGCCTCTCCTTCTTCATCCTCCTCCTCTACCTCATCAACGCGCGCGCCCTCCTCCCCGGCATCGTAATCCTCGGCTCCTTCATCCTCTTCGTTCTCTGGCTAGTCGGTCTAATCGTCATAAGCCTCGAACTCTGGGGGCCCCAAGGCGACGTTAATGGGAACTGCGCTCTGTATGTGGGCGGGCAGGAGAGCAGGGGACAGGGGCAGGAGACGCTGGCGTGGCTGATGCAGGATACGATTTGTCAGTGTTGGAAGGCGGGGTGGGCGTTTTTGTTGGTGGGGGATGCGTTTTGGTTCTGGATGATGGTTATGAGTTATCAGGTTTATAAGGATGATTGAGGGGTGGGATAGACACGAGGGGGGTGGATGGTCGATCGACTGGAGGTTAGGAGATTGATATGTTGTCAGATGAGGGATGGGGAATGAGGGAAGGGGCGGTGGGAAAGGAGGATGGGGACGGATGGACGGGTCATTTCATGCATTTCGAAGCGCGGGGAATATATGGAGCTGGGATGGACGGAAGGTGTATATCGGAACGACTTAAGTCTGGCTGGGTGGGTTGGTAGGGAAAGGCGTATGGGTATGGGTATGATTGTCAGGTGTTGGGTTGGGATATGATATATGTATGGGTTACGAAAGGAGGGATACAGAGATCAATCTCCCCCGGCAGAGTGTGATATAGTTCAAACCCGCCATCTTGGTATGGCAGGCATAGTACGAACTTCCCAGGTTGAAGAATATGAATAACATCGATTTAAACAATCCACCCCTCCACACCATCTATTAACATCCCTTCGCATCTAAAAACACACAGAGAACGCATTAATTACAGCCCCTTCCCCTCCCCCTCCCTCCTCCGCCAATAAACCCTCTGCCTCCCAATCCCATCCCACGCCTCCAACGCATCCTCCCCCTCCCCCACCAACTCCACAACATCACACCCCCCCAACATCCCCATTATTTCTCCCCTCTCCCTCCTCGTCGGAACAACCAGCCTCCTCCCCTCCCTCACCTTCTCCTCCAAAAGCCTATTCATAAACGCCTCCGTATCTCCCCACACCATCGCCGCAGGCCACGGACCACGGCTAATCACCCACTCCATCTCGAGGTACCCCGCTATCGAGAATACGAGCGTGTTCTCCGTGATAGCCAAGAACCCATCTGGATCCGACTTAACGACGAAGCCGAGGGAAGATAGGAACTCTGCGTCTAGAGGGGTGAAAATAGGGTCCTGCGCGACGAATTTCCCGGGCGTGGTTTTCGGATCTAAATCTAGAAGAGAGATATCAAATCAGTCCAGGTGCAAATGCGCTTCCAGCTATTTATGGTAGATAGATAGATGGAAATACCTACCTAGTTCCCCAATAACAGTCAACAGAACAGCTAACTGCGTCAAGCTAGCCGCTCGACACTCCTCCATCATCGCCTGCAGGCTCCCGAGCGCGAGGCAGACGATGTTGTCGATACCTACGCGACTGTCCTGCTCGCGCTTCAACGAATCAAATGTGCGCCGTAGAGAGGTGCAGGCGGGGCTCGCAAGCCATAGCGTCTGGTAGTGCTGGAACTCCTCCCCCATTGTCTCGAGGGTGCGCGAGATGTAGCCCGAGTGGAAGATGCCAGGCGAGATGTGGCCGTTTCGGCCGGGGAATCTGGCGAGGTTGAGGCGCGGCCTGTGGGGGGACGTGTTAGTTTTTTTCTTATGAGAAAGGTGAAGTGAACTATGGGAAGACTGGGCGGCGGGAAAAAGGGGACGAACAAGATGAAGTCCGCCTCAGCTAGATGTTTCTCGTTTTCAAATATCTCGGCTCTAGGCATGATGCGGATTTCCTTTGGTTTGCGGCCGCCTTCGATGGTGAAGGAACCATCGTCTTTGGGGATTAGTTTCCATCTGCGCGCGTGGATGTTCTTTTTTGCGGGGGGATCGGAGTGTTCCTCGTCGGTGGTGACGCTCTCGTTGTCGGCCCAATCTTTTTCCTCTTCAGATGCGTAGCCTTCGTTGGCGGCGAGGCTCGCCTTGTCAACCCGGTCTTCTTCCATGGATGCTTGGTTCGATGGCGATGAATGGATGGTGGGTGGGAGAATTGTAGGGTGGTATGAGGGGGGAAGGAGGATGGGTTGGGGTCTGTAGGGCTAGAGGAATTGGTGTGTATATTTATATTAGGCAACTATCATACCAGCCAAACATCCTTACATATTGTCTATGGCTATGCATATTGTGACGCTCTTTGTACGTGAGATGGGTTTTGTATCAAATGACAGCTTGGTTTACCTCTGGCAAGGCGCAGGTGTGTGTCGGTTGTTGGATGATACACAGCTACCCCGCTGTTGGTGGTGGTGGTGGTGGGTGGGTGGTTGATCTGTTGGCTATAGACACCATGCAGAGCCACTCGCGTTTAGTGACTGGTGATCCTCCTCAAACTCAGTAGTGGTTTGATGGAAGTGAGTCGGCCTGGCTATACATACCAAACACAGCCTTCTCACATCTACACAGCAACAACACAAGTCGACTTACGCATATTTAACAAAAGTGAGAATACCAACAGCAACATAAGTCCACTTACGCACATTTAACAAAAGAGAAAATACCCACAGCAACACGATCTTCCCACACCCACACAGCGACAACAAATGTTATATCATCTTCCCCAAGCCACAGTCACCCTAAATACCAATAGGACACACAAATCACCGGCACCACAGTTCCCATCACATCCATCCATATACCAAAATATACCATAATTCCAACGAAGCCGAAGGGCTCAGCTAAGACGAGGAAACTGAGGGGGGTGAGGGGTCCAGCGTCGAGGAGGGTGAGGACTAGCTCTTGGGCGACGAATTTTCCAGACATGGTGAGGAGATCTAGGTCTAGAGATATTAGTCTTACTGTTTTCGGCCGGTTAGAATGTGCTTGGGACTTTGGGGATAGGTAGGTCTTACCTGGGTCTTTGATAATCGGCATTAACAGAGTTAGTTCTTGCCTTTCTTAGTTCCAGGCCATCGTTCTTTCCCTCTTAAGTTCCTAGCTATCGTTCTTTCTTTTCTTAGTTCTAGGCCATCGTTCTTTCCTTGTCATCGTTCTTTCCCTCTTGAGTTCCGTCCCATCGTTCTTTCCTTTCTAACTTCCTAGCCATCGTTCTTTCCCTCTCAAGTTACCTACCATCGTTCTTTCCTTCCCAAGCCTCTAAAGCCTGTTCCTACCCTCTAGAGTTTCCTAACATCGTATTAACGATGGGCGCTCGACACACTTCTAACATATCCTATAGACTTCCTAAGAACGAGACAGACGCTATTGTCGATAGGGACGAGGCTAGACTGCCAGCATTTCAAGGGGGAGAATCGTGCTCTGTAACGAGGTGTAGGCATCACTTTTCAACCACAATCCCTAGTAACCGTAAGCCCCATCCCTCATCCCCTCTCTCAAGTCTCTCAAAATGTACCCCCCCGAAAAATATCCCAGTACATCTCCTCACATCTGCCGAACAACCCACTGCTTCTCAAACAATCAGTCCTACTCACATCTGATAACCCACCCCCTCCTTCTCAAACAATCAGCCACCGTCACCATCAAACCCAAACCCCAAACAAAATATATCAAATATATCAAACCACCTACCTCGATCCACACACGTCCATATCCCTTATACGCCTCATCCTTAGAAACGATCTTTCCATTGACGAAAAACGTCTTCACTCCTTGACTCCCATCTATCACACCTTCTTCGTATGATTTTATCGCGGCGAGGATATTTGATTGTTGCCCTGCTAGGGGGATGGAATCATTTGTATTTGCCTCGGCGAGGTAGTGGCGGAGTTGCTTGATTCTCCTCTCAGGCACGAAGGGGTCTGGAAACGGAATAGCAGGCGCGAACTTGATAATAGGTGGGATAGGCTCCATTCTTCTTTTCTTATTGATGAGTGTGTGGGGATTTTGACGTGGATGTGGGTGGTAGTGGAAGTTGGATTTGGAGGTTTGAAGTTTGTTCTCAGTAGGCGTGATGTGAACGTACGACGTACGTTAAGTTAGTTAAAGAGTTGCTCTATCCCAGATAATAGCGCAACTAGAGAAAGGACCACGCCATTACAGAATGCAACCTTCTGAAGACTTAAATCACACATCTACACATCTCAAAACAAGTATAACCTCAAAAAGAGTGATTGTCATTGCTATATCATCATAAATCTCAAAACAAAGACCCATGGATCATCATCATCCCATAACACCCATATCCATATCCATCAACACAACCCTCGGGTATCGTCATCCCTCACGCTCTAGTTGGAGTACTTAGGATCAACCTTGTTCCCCGTCGCCTTCTCGTATGCGCCACGGAGGCCATCAGTGATCTTCTCGCTCTGGTCGGCGGAGAAGGTGTGGCCGGTCTTCTGGGAGATGGCTGCGAAAGCTGTTTTTGTCTGTTAGTCTCTTTCCTCTTTCTTATCTTCTGATTTTTTTTGTCCATTCCCACCCATCACCACACCTCTAGAAGAAGGTAGGGAAAGAAAGGAGGGTAGGGAAGGAAGGGAAGGAAGGAAAGACATACCCTTATCTCCGTAATCCTGTTGCTGTCCAGTAGACGCACCAGCAGCGGGTGCTGATCCATCAGTAGCAGCCGGGGCGGAACCACCAGCAGCAGCGTTCTTGTTGCCCTGGAGCTCTCCAGCGGCCTTCTTGAGGAAATCCATTGTAGCGGGTAGGTGTGTGGGGGGGTGTATGTGTTGTTGGGTATTGTGAGAGAGAGTGTGTAATGAATGTATGTATACGTTGCAACAAGAGAGAAAGAAGAGAAGAAGGCTATGTGGAAGGGGGGGGGGGAAGGGGGTTATATACTAGGCAAACATGCTTGTGGCTGTGGCTATGGCTATGGGCTATGGCTAGAGAGAGATAGGATGGGATGGAGGGGCACGGCGTCAACCCGGTAACATCATAGCTAACTTAGATAGGTGGGTGGGTTTTCCCCATATAAACTTTCGTTGGGCCCTGATTTGATTGCGTCTCCCTCCTCCCCCTCTCCTACCACTCCCTCTACACCCCCCTCTAACCCTTAACCCCCATATCCCGTGTATGGGATTGTTGGTTCTCTCGGAGAAGCAAGGAGAAAGGGGAGCAGCGCCGCTGGCTAGGGGACAAAGCAGGCTAGGGTACCGCATCCAGCTGTCTGTCATGGTGGGGGAGAGGGAGATTGTCCGGGTTAGTGGCAGGAATGAGTTATGTATAGTAGAGTAGTAGAAGATCAGAGAAGGAGGAGGGGGTGCGAATGTAGGAGAAAGTACATGCAGACAAGCACTTTAGCACATGCATATCAGCTGTACCGGGGCAGGTTGAGCACGTACTTTGGTGCTAGTTTGGGGGGGGGCTGGAGTGGTCGAATTGGGGGGTTAGAGGGGTTAGAGGGGTGTGGGTAGGAGATGGCCGATGGGCTGAAGAGGGGTGGGAGGGAGGGACAGGATGGGATATGTATGGGACAAAGTGATGGAAAAGATACAAACCTTGGTACAGAATAGGGCGGAAAGTGACTTAACTTCCTCACTAACAGTTATGGGTAACAGTTTATCGATGATGGCTGGTTTAGCTGGTTAGCTTGTTATCTGGTTAGCTGGGTTATTAGCTGGTTAGCTGGATATTAGCTGGTTAGCTGGTTATTATCTGGTTAGCTGGGTTATCCCCCACTACTCCCAATGATGAAGAGTCGACGTCATGCCCCTTCCTCCCCTCTTACTGGTTGGTTAGTGGTCGGGTGGCTCGTGCGTCTGCGGTGCGGCCGATGGATGGGGGAAGGGAAGGGAAGGGAAAGAAGGGAAAGCTGCATCCTGGTGCACATCGGGACTACGGGACTGGACTAGACTGCTTTGGGAGGAGGGTGTTGCGCGTTTTTATGGGGGGTTACGATTGGTTGGGTTGGGATGGGGGATAGTGGGAGGATAGCATAGTGGGAGAGGAGGACCGGAGGGGAGGGGTGAGGAGAGGGGAGAGGGAGGAGAGATGACAACACAAGCCACAGAACAGATAAAACACAGCCACGAATCTCAGATCTGGCGGGAGGGGAGGGATGGAGTGGTCACGTGATATAGTTTGGAAAATCAACGAGGCAATCACGTGGTTGACAGCGAACATCATTTTGGTTTGTATGTAGGGGACTAACTATACCATCACGTGGTTGACAGTGATAATCATTTTTGGTAGTTGTTGTGCCTTGTATATATGGCACTAATGTTTGGATCGATTCGATTACCAGCCTAGCCTAAAGCATCCGTCAACGCCTAAGGTATTAACAACCCACGTTTCTGCCTCGTATATATGGCAATGATATTTAGATCGACTCGATCACAGCCTAGCCCGAAGCATCCTGCAGCAACCTAAGGCACCAACACTCCCAAAGCGTCCATGAGCAACCTAAGGCATCAACACTTGCCAAACCATTAGAAAGCCTAAGGCACCAACATCAACAACCTAAGGCATCCATCAACACACCACCCAAAACATCAACTTGAAACGCCAAATGATCGACAGTCCCGTGATCCCAGTCGCCATGCACCACCACCACAACACAACGGTCCCGTAGCTCTCAGAAAGTACGTTGACCTGGAAACAACCCGCGTTCCACCCTTGATAGCCTGTCAAAGAGGCTCAACATTCGAATTGCTTCAAAGCTTCATTCTCCCCCACGAACCCGCGCCATAACGATAATAACCTCCTAACACTGTCTCACCGATCCTGCACCTCTCCAACAACAATCCACAACCTCCCCACCACCTACACACCCGCAGCGCACATCCACATCCCGCTCCTGCACGACGCAGGGTCAAACAGCAGCGTGTGTCTGAGCGCACAGATCACCACATAAAACTCACAACCACCACCACAACACACCGAGTCTCTCATGCCGCGAACCTCCTCTGAGCCCTCACACCCTCACCACCACCGCGACGCGTAATGCCCGCTACACCATGACCGCGACCGAAGAAGACTCCTCGCCCCCGCCCGCCGAAGCGCGCATCACCCTCTCGCGCAAGGGCTCGCGCAAGAAGAACGTGGAGGGATTCACTATGGATACCGGCAACGACGACGACGAGAACGTGGCGCCGAACAAACCGACTAGCTTCGCCGATTCGAGTATGGGCGAGCAGGCCTTTGACGATAACACAAACAATAACAATAAACCCGCAAAACGCTTCCCCTCGCTGGGCAACCTACCCGCCCTGCCACCGGGGGAGAGCAGCATGATGTCCGAGGACCTGAGCCGCGAGGAGCACAGCGACGGCCACCCCGATACCATGGACGAGAGCGAGATGCGCCGGCACCTAAACGACGTCGAGAGCAGCTTCCTCCCCGCGCCGAGTCCCGTAGGCCAGTCTGCCAACCCAGGCGCAGACGATACGTATTTATTTGACGGGGCGCGCGAGCCAGTTGTGCTCGCGGACCGAATACCCGGAATCAGGACGCCGACGAAGGGTGCGGCGAGGGAGGAGGGGAGGCAGGAGTCGTTTACCCCGTTGTCGGAGAGGGGGACGCCGCAGGTGCAGGGGTCGATGTTGGGGGATGAGCTGGGGGATAATGGGAATACGACGTCTTCGCTGGAGACTATGTCGTCGCCGACGGCGGCGGCGGCGGCGAGGACGGTGTCGAGAGCGATTTCGATGGTCAGTATGGGGTATGATATTGAAGGACATGTTACGTCGGATGCTCCAAGCCCGCCGCAGAGTGAGAACGGAGGTGAGGAGGGACTTAGTCGCCAGGGCACGCCGAGGATATTTGAGCCGGAGTCATCGCAGGGGACTAAGGGGGATTCGTCGGATGAGCGGTCTACGATACGACATCAGGCGTCGAATCAGAGTCTTAATGCTGCGGATGCTGGGAGTACACCTGGTGCGGCGCTGGTTAATAGGCGCAGGTCGGGTAGACGGCCGAAGTTTTTAAGGAGTCGGAATGCGAGCCAGAGATCGTCTATATCGTCGTCTGTTGCGAATACGGATGCAGAGGAGAGTAGTGATATGACCTATGGGACAGACTACGCTATGTTATCGGGCGGTGCTGTGCCAGCGTATGGCGCGTCTCGACACAGCAGCTACATGCTATCAAGGAGTATCAGCCTAGGCAGCATGGCATCTGGCATTGACGATTCCGCCGAGTTGAAGCCCGTTCTCGGGACGTTGGAGGAAGAGGAGAGAAACCGGTCGCGGGTAGATAGTAGTCAAACCGCTGACGACTACGACAATGCCCCAGCAACACCGCGCGCGACGAGCCACTCCCTAGCTGCTCCTACAGACACGGTCATCGCGAGACATGTTCGTAACGTGCATGTTCCGGAATCCGTCGCCAAAGAATATAGGAATAAATCGGGTGTCTCACCTGGCAGGCTTCCAGGGCCTAGCACGGAACGCCATGGAAAGAATATGACGCTCAAGGAGCAGAGTAGCACTATTGAGCGGCTGTCGAAGGAGAATTTTGATTTGAAGCTCAAGGTCATGTTCCTCAGTGATAGGCTGGACAAGTTATCTGAAGAGGGCGTTAAGGAGATGATCTCCGAGAATGTGGAGATGAAAACGGTCCTCGCGAATATGCAGAGAGATAACAAGGCACTCCGGCGCAAAGTCAAAGAGCTCGAGAAGAGTAAAGACGGCTCCCCCCGACCAGGAACCGCTCGCTCCGGCGCCTCATCCGAAGGCCAACCGCAATGGTTCGACCAAGAAGGCGCACAAGAGCGCGAAGAGGAGCTCATCTACCTCCGCGAACGCATGGAGGAATACGAAGTCGAAATCGAGAAGATGCGCACCGAGAGCCTCTCCCGCGAATCCGAGAAGCGCAAGCTCGCTGAGACCGTGCGGTCCATGGGCGAGAAGCGAGGCGAGGACATGGATGCGAGGGAGGAGATGGATGTGTGGAAAGATCTTCTTGAGCAGGAGACTGCAAGGCGCGAGGAGGCTGATGAGGATAACCGGAAGCTTCGTGATGAGATTTTTAGACTTAGGAGTGAGAGTGTGGTTTCTGGTGGGGGTGCGGGGTTGAATCATACTACTAATATCTATCATATCACCAAGAAGCGACAGGGGTCGCCGACGCGACCAAGATCCGGGATGTCGGAGCGTGTTGATGACCGCGGTGGCGCGTTCAGTGCTGCTAGTACCCTCGTCGATGATCTCCGTCGCGAGAGCGACCTCCTGCGTCATGAAAACGCCGAGTTGCGCAGGGAAGTTGGCGCGCAGACCTCGATGCTGACGTCGCGCAATCGCGAGAAGGAGCGTCTATACCAGGAGATCGAGGACCTAAAACTCGGTCACCGCAGAGGCGGCTCGATCGCCGGCGACAGCATCCTCGACCGCTCCGCATCGCGCACCCGCGAGAGACCACAATCTAGGGGTAGCGAGCTGACGCGCGTCACTGCCATCATGCCAGATGCGGAGCGCGAGGACCTGGAGAACAAGAATGCCGAGCTGCGTGATAAGCTGAACGGTCTGCAACTCGACAACCAGGAGGTGAACAAGGAGCTAGAGAGCTGCATGGAGGATTTTGAGACGGCGATTGAATCGAAGCGCGAGGCTGAGGCGCTGGCGACTGAGCTTCAGCACGAGTTGCAAGTCGCCGAGGCCGATCTGCAGACTATGCAGGCGGATCGCGATGAGGCGCTCAAGGGGCAGGAGGAGGTGGAGATTGAGTTTGAGAATCTGCGCAAGGAAGCGCAGGAGGAGATCGATGCGCTTGAAGCCGACGCGGAGGAGCGGGCTGTAGAGATGGAGGGGTTGCAGGTGGAGCTTGCGAACCAGGCCGAGAACTTCAATGCGCTGCAGGCGGAGATGCGGGGGATGAGCGAGGCGCTTGTGCGGCTGGAGGATGATCACGATCTCAAGACCCGGCGGATCCAGGAGCTGGAGCGGGAGCTGGAGGATGCGAATCGCGAGCTGAATGGGATGGAGAAGGCGATCAACGAGGCGAATAACAAGATTAATCGCCTAACCGTGCAGCAGGAGTCTAGCCAGGGCGAAATCGCGTTCCTGCGCGAGGAGCAGGACGGTGATAAGATCAAGATTGGGGATCTGGAGTCTGCGCTGAAGAATGCGGAGGGCGCGGCGAGGGATGAGAGGGAGAGGGTTAGGGAGCTTGAGCAGCGGCTGGCGAGCGAGAGGCATCAGAGGGAGGTGGTGGCGGGGAAGGAGAAGCAGGAGGTGCAGAAGTATATTAATGAGCTTAATCGCGAGGCGTCGAATGCGAAGGACGACGCGAGACGGCTGCGGAAGAATCTGTCGAGTCGAGAGGTCGAGGCGACGGAGTGGAAGGAGAGGTTGTTGGAGCTGGAGAATAACCTCCGCGAGACGCTGGGTGATCTCAACGGCACGCGCTCTACTTTCCTCAAGGGCATCGGCGACCTGCAGAAACAGCTTGACAACACCACCCGCGAGCTCGACACGACCAAAACCTCCATCCTAGAGAAAGACCGCATAATCCGCGAGCGCGACACCCTCCTCGAGTCGCACAGCCACGAATACGGGATCCTAGCCGAGATGCTGGATAAAGAGCGACAATCGCACCGCAACTCCAAGCACCAGCACGAGACCTTCCTCAAGACGCACAACCACACCACGCGCACGGTGGGTCAGCAGGAGACGCGCGTGGCGCAGCTGGAAGCGGCGTTGCAGGCGGATAGGAAGAAGTTGAGTCAGTTGGAGAATTCGTTCAAGGATCAGCTTAATGAGAGGAATAATCTGCTGTTGACGATGTGGAATCGGTTGTCGCTGATTTGTGGGTCGGATTGGGCACATGGGAATAGTTTGATTAACGGCCGCGCCTTGCCCTCTTTGGAGGCTGTATCGACCATGCTTCCTGGCTTTGCTAAAAATCTCCTTGCGTCAACCAAGAAGATTGAGGCGCTGATCGCGGGATTCAAAACCCGCGTCCGAACCATCGAGCGCGATCTAGCCCGCGACTTCTCCTCCCTAGAAAACACCCTCGAAGCACGAACCAAGAAACTCGATCGCCTAGAGGGCCTCGTCAGATCTGCTAGCATGAATTCCTCTACCGACCAACGAGCTGAGATCGTGAGGTTGCAGGATATGAATCGCTTGCTGAGAGTGGATATTCAGGCGCTGAGAGCGTCGACGCCGAGGAAGGGGGTGTATGAGGTTATTGAGCCGGGCAGTCCTGCGCCTATCATCCCCACCGGTCCACGCACGAAGGCGTTAACGCGCCACCAAGCTACCGCTGCTGCTAATTCTGCGAACTCGGCGGCAGCAACAGCTGATGTCCCCGAGCGCGCGGGTAGTTCGGCTGGCTCGACCAGGGGAGTCTCTAGCTCTAGAGCGGGCGGAGCAGCAGGAGGGGGGGAGGACTCGGAGTGGTGGGTCTTTAGACTCAAGGAGTTGGAGAGACGACTTAAGGCGGAGAGGGAGGCGAGGTTACTAGATCGCAGTGGGGCGAGGAAGAGGTTGGAGGAGGGGGAGAGGAGGAATGAGGAGTTGAGGGCTGAGGTTGAGAGGGGGAGGGTTAGGATGCTTGCTGAGGCTGGGGCTGGGGCTGGGGCGGGGGGTGGGGGGGAGGTGGTGTAGGTTGGGGGAAAGGGGGGGGGGTGATATATCTCGTGTTTGCTTTTCTGAGGCGTGGAGTAGATGGTGTTATGCTTTTTTCTTGGAGTGAGAAAGCGCCGGGTGTACTGAGGGGTTTTTATGGTTGTCATGGGGGGTTTTTAAAGAGGGATTGAAAGCAGGCGCGGCGTGAAGAGGGTTTTGGGCGTTTTTGCGGCTTTGAGACACTTGTATGTACGTTTCTATGGAGGGAAAGCGCTGGGCGATGGATGGGGGTGTATGAGTATGATCTACGTACCTTACTTTTGGGGAACGAGGAATTCATGGTATGCTTACGATCTCCACGTTGATATGTTTTTTATGTGAAGTTTTGTGATATGCAGTATATGTGAGGTGTGAGGTGAGCTGTACTGCTGGATAGGGCTACGTAGTTCCAGGGACCTGTTGTGGTATTAAGGCTGGTACGCTAAAAGCGGGAATCCCGATTTAAGCTATGACGCAAGCCGCGATTTGACCACCGATCGAGCTTGGGTATGGCATCCATCTATCGACGAGACAACAAACAACAACAGAGCTTTGTAGAATATTCCACAATTCAATTAAATAAATCCAAACCGGTAATAAACAATAATTATGCATCTATATCCAATTCTCTACCTAATTGGTCCCCACAAGAATCTAAACAAAACGATTGGAGTAGTGATCCCTCCCCCCCCAAGTTTATCAAATCTATGACATCATGTCCATTTTCCAAGCTACCTCCTAACCCCCCCCCCCACAACAGGCCTCCCTGTTTTCTCTGTAGCTGGTGGTGTCGTATATAAGACTTGACTCCTTCTCTGACGCCACTACTTCTTACAAATTCAAAAAAAGCCATCAACTCAATCTATCACTTCAATCTTCATCATCACACGCAGCGTCAAAGTCTCGTATCTAGCTGCTTCACCTACCATCATATACATCTATAATCTACATCACACCGACAAAATGTCGTTCCTCGCACGCTCTGCCCAGCCGCTTCGCCAGGTCATCCGCACCCCGATTGCGACCCGTGCATTCACCGTCTCGGCGCTGAGACAGAAGGGGCCAGTTGAGGCGGCAAAGGATGCATTGAAGACTGTTGACAGGAAAGTGAGCGATAAGCTCGTCGGAGGCATTAAAGTCGGCGGTAAGCCCCACCACCCTCCCCTCCCATCCTCCCTCACTCTACAAAGCTAGGGCTAGCCAGATCAATTGGAGACGGATGCTGACGTATACTAGAAACGGTAGCAGAAAAAACCAAACAGGCAACAGGGCTGAAGGGACATAAAGCGAAGCAGGAATTCGAAGAGGATCTGTATGATGAGGAGGGAGAGGTGAAGGCTAAGGTTAATGAGGCGATTGGGGAGGCGAAGGGGAAGGCTAGTGAGTTGGCGGGGGAGGCGAAGGGGAAGGTTAGGGAGGCGGAGGGGAAGGTTAGGGGGAAGTTTTAGGGTAGGGATTTTTTTTTGGGGGGGGGGGGGGGGTGTAAGAAAAATGATGGTGGTGTAATGGTCCAGTACTCTGGAGTTTGAGGAAAATCTAAACAAAATATGTCCTAAATCGCAACAATACCACACTCACTAACCTACGCATACCTAACTACCTAGCCACCTCCCCCCCCCTTTTACCTCCCCATCCACCCCCCATCAACAGTAACAATCTCCCCCGTAACATACGCACTCCCCCCCCCCGCAAGCCAAACCACCACCCCCCCAAAATCCTCTGGCCTCCCCCACCTCCCCGCCGGTATCCTAGCCAGTATACTCGCCGCCCTATCCGCATCCGCAATCAACGCATCGTTCATCTCCGTCGCGATATACCCCGGCGCTATCGCATTGACATTCACCCCCTTCCCGGCCCACTCATTACTCAGCGCCTTTGTTAACTGCGCTACCCCCCCTTTAGCCGCCGCGTACGCGGGCACTGTCAATCCGCCTTGAAAGCTGAGGAGTGAGGCGATGTTGATTATATTCCCCCTGTGTGGACCGGGGCGGGTCAGCATATGCGCGCCGATGTCGCGGCAGAGGGTGAAGACGGTGGAGAGGTTGGTTTGGAGGACTAGATCCCAATCTGAGTCTGGGAAGGCGGCAGAGGGGTGGCGGCGTTGGATCCCGGCGCAGTTGAGGAGGATGGAGGGGTCGTGGGAGGCGAGGATGGTGGGGGTGAGAGAGGCGACTGAGGAGGCGGAGGAGAGGTCGCAGGTTAGGATTGTGGCGGTGCGGCCGAGGGCTTCGATGGCGGTTTTGGTGGTGGTGTTGGATTCATCGCGCTGTGGGGGGGGTTAGTTGGTTGGGGGTCTTTCTTTTTTTTGAGGGGGGGGATTTGGAAGGGCGATCGGGGATTGGGGAAGGAGAAGAGGGGGGGTCAATACCTGGATGAGAACGATGTCGGCGCCGGCTTCGGCGAGGGAGATGGCCATGTGGGCGCCGATGCCGCGGGTGCCGCCGGTGACGACTGCGGTGCGGCCTTCGAGGGAGAAGAGGGCTGGGAGGGAGGGAGCCATTGTTGGGCGATTAGGGGGTGCTGATGGAAGTTGGAGATTGGGTGAGTGTTTGGTGGTTAGGTGTGGTTTTTGTGGTGGGGGGATGGGGTATTTGAGGATGGTCGTGGGGTGACGCTCACCCTGGACCCCGCAGTTTGATGGCGGGGTAGCGGGGCTCGAATTTATGGCAACTCAGCACGGGGGGGGTAGGGGCAGTGGGTATCGATGGGTGTTTTTATATCCGTCCCATTGGGAATATATCATGGGAAGTCACGTATAAATAATTATATTGTCTCAACTCACAGAAAAGGTCGCTTGTGACCATATACTTTGTGATACCTAATAGTTAATGGCAGAGGTCGTACGCCTCTTCAATCCTACTAAACCTAAGAGATGAGCTCATATTTAAGCTCTTATTTCTAAGTGTGAAAATAATATTACCATGCGGATGATATGTTGTGCTATTCTAGTTGATGTTTGCCGACCATCATCCTAACATTTATATCATGAGGCAGTGCATTTTTGTAATTGGCATTTTAGCTGCTTCCTAGACACACTGATCGTGCAATTCTATTCATCTTACCAATAAATTCACAACTAAAAAAAGGTTAAACGCTGAGGTATTTTATCAACCTGCTGGCTAGTCTTGACTATGTTCGGTAGCCTCGTTGACTACAAGCCGATTCTTGCACAAGGGATGGCCCGAAGTGAGGTGGCCATGATAGTCAGCAGTTCTATCCCCGTCCACCATGCACAGGCTATAGCCTCCTACTTCAAGCACGTTTTCCTTTTTCGACGTGTTATTTTATCATAGGCTGAGAATTACAAGGCTGGCAATAATACTAAGAGTCGCTCATATGGCGGCATGCGCGATGCTTAGTTAGGAACAATATTCTGTGGCTGATGTTTGAGAATGGTAATCCGGTGGAAGGTTCGCTCCTATAGGTCTTGCTCCCAGCCTTATGTCTACCAACAAGAATCGATTAGATGGCCGTAGAACTTATAAAAGAAGGCACCCTTTGCACAGCCCTCACAGCCTTGACATATCTCTCATTAAGTAGCAACGCCCGTTACGCCGTTGTTAATTTAAATGAAATACTCATAGGAGTTCAACCGCAAGCAACTATGTCTACCCAAGCGCAGTCTACAGTTGATTTAGACGAGGCCGAAACATTAGGACTACATCCTCACTCTATTCTACAGGAGTTCTTTATGCAAAATGATGCCTTTAGAAGGCTTGCCGCAGCAAGGGAAAGGGTAAGTCCCTAATTAATTTTTGCTAAACAAGTAAGACTAAAAAATAAAACAGGGGTGGAAGAACGAGCGCGGAGACGAATATTTTGCACGACAACGCCGCGCGGCCGATGGTGCAAAGAATAAAGAGGCTTATAGGTTATATAAGATGATGCAAGAAATCGGAGACGAGATGCAAAGCTGCACCCGTTGCCTTAGTCAACAGTCCAACCCTGAAGGAAATATGAATATTTTAGATATCTGCATGGCGCCGGGTGGCTATACAGCTAGTGCATTAAAGTACAATCCCAAGGCAACTGCTTTTGGGATTAGTCTCCCATTACAGCAGAGCGGCCACAAGGTGCTCCTACCGCGCTCTAGCTCGACCATGCTCTTCCTCGACGTTACGATGTTGGGGAAGGAGTATGGCGTGGAGATGATACCCCTCACGCACCCTGATCGCACCAGCTTTCGCGACGAGAGGCCATTCTGGGGCCAGACGTTCCAATTGATATTTTGTGACGGCCAGGTACTTCGGACGCATGAGCGCCCCGAATATCGAGAGCATTATGAAGCACGTCGCTTGACCGTTTCGCAGTTGATTTTGGCACTCCAGCGCATTCGATCGGGTGGAACAATCGTTGTCTTATTACATAAGATTGAGGGATGGGACACCTTAGAGATTATATATCGCTTCAGCAGCTTCTCTTCAGTCCAGGTATTTAAACCCGCGAAGAAGCATGCGAAGAGATCATCGTTTTACCTTGTCGCAAGTGGTGTCCAACCCCATTCAGATGCTGCAAAGCTAGCGGTTGAGGAGTGGAAACAGGCCTGGTGGAATGCAACATTTGGTGGCGAAAATGGAACGGGAAGTCGAGATAGTACAGCTAAGGAGGACCATGTCCGGCTTGTGCTGGACCAATTCGGTAGCAAGTTCGTGGAGTTGGCTAGGCCAATTTGGGAGATTCAGGAGAAGGCATTAAGCTCATGGAAACCTTAATATAATGGCGTAGCTAATTACGTTGGAGAGGGTGGTTTGAATTATGATATACAGCGGCTCTAAATTTGCAGTCTTTTGGCCGTAGGGTTAGTGTCAAGTGTGAGCTGCACCATATATTGTACCAGTAGACGAGTATTCATAAGATCTACTGCTACTAGGGCGTTATATAGGGTTTATAAACTCATTTTCGAAATGAATGGCTCATCCGGCTTTACAGCCAAGACGAAAGTAGGATCCCAAAATGCAATCAAGCCTTAACCTGAACATTCAGTCTGCGGAAACCACCACAGCAAGCGACCTCCTTCTGCAAGTCGACCATGCGCTTCTGGTCGCCAGTTGGGTCAGCCGAGTCGCCCTCCAAGTTCCAGGTCAGGAACTCGTTGGTGTAGTTCGGCACAAAGTTCTCCTGCAAAACACCCAGTCTCTTCCCGTACGCAGTCACCTTCTTCCAGTCACGCTCCACATTCTTGAGGTCCTGTGAGAAGTACGCGTACGAGCGCTCGTAGATCTTGCGGTTGACAGGGTCAGCCATCTGCGGCTTGACGTCAATGTACTCCTTGTACGCCTCAGCGGGGCTGGAAATGACATCGTCGGTAGCACGCTTGACGGCCCGCATGAACGCAGCGACCTTGTCCTTGTTCGCGGCAATGAAGGCATCGTTGGCGATGTACAAGATGGAGCAGAAGCAGCAGCATCCCAGCTCGGCGAGCTCGTCAATGCGAAGCATCTGGACGTCGTCACGGGCACGGCCCTGGGACGCGAGCCACTCCTCAAGCTCGACCATCTGGACGTTCTCAAGTCCGATACCGGCGTCGATGGTGCCCTCGATAATGGCCTTGGACACGTTCATGCCGCAGCGGACGGCGGTGTACTCGTCGGGCGTCATGCCGTAGTGGCGGGTGAGCTCGTCGATTTGGATCTTGCCGAACTCGCCGACGTAACCGATGCGCTTGCCCTTGAGGGAGGTGAAGTCGGTGGTGATGCCGCTGTCCTTGAGGTAGACGACGCCGGTGAAGGGCTCGTCGAGGAGGGAGCCGATGGACGTGACGGGGAAGTCACGGGCTTTGGCCTGGGGATATGTTAGGTGGTGGACTGTCAGTAGATTATGCGTAGACTTACGGCAAGAGTGTGAATCATGGCCTTGAATCCCATATCAACTTTTCCGCTTCCGATTATCTCGGTGACATCTATCGGGGATTAGTTTCATGCTCCATGGCTACTGAAAGTGCTTCCTACCGGATGGGTCATTCGGCTCCAACAGAGCAACCTTGATACCCTCGTCGGCGAAGTATCCTTTCTTCTGGGCCAAGTAGACCGGAGCATGGTATGGCGTCGCGTGCCTAACCTAAAATCAGCCTACATCCCCCAATCAACCAAGATCTGTCTCCCAATTACCAGTTCATCAAGAAGGTAATCTTATCGGTAGACATCTTGAGAGATCGTTTGCTACACTTCATGAGTTTGTGACCACAGGGGAGGGGGAAGCATGTCCTTATGCGCTAGAATTGTCTAGATCAAGTTCATACGGTATATTCTCAGAACCAGGTCTTCAACTGCCTCCTCCAGCTCTGTCTGACTCGCGATGAAGGAAGGGTCGTGAGACCATAGCCTCCATAGCTGAGCTGAGCTGAGCTGAAAGAAACAATTGAGGACCTGGACACCCGTCATGCTTTTACTGTACGTTACCTTGATCCGACGACATCTCCAATGCATGAGGCTCAGCCATATCCAATGCCATACCGTCGAAATATGCGTGTGTTGGTGTATGCAGGTTGTAAATTGACGGAGAATCGAATTATTGATTGATGAAAAGAAGAAAGAGGGAAGAAGAGAAATAAATAGAGGGGTGACGCATATATACGTATAACAGTTAGCTATGAGCGCGGATCGGAGCGGGGTGTTGGGATGTTGGTGGGGTGAGTGGGGGGTTACATAATTGCATGGCTTCATAGAAGTGGGCGACGATAGCCGCAAATAATATAAAAATCCGCAAAACATACAATGCTACCAATCACATACACAGTCATCAGTGTTGTGGAGGAATTTCTATTCGTTCCTGTTAAAAGCGCAGTAAGCATGTTGTTGAGATTTGTCCATTCATTGCCTATATCTAAGCCCCGCACTAAAGCGCTCATGTAATGCTCATGTAAAGCTCCTGCTCCAGTCATATCATACCCATCCCCAAAACGCCTTTAATCCCATCATCCAGAATGCCAATCCCCTCGTTCCCACCTTCCCACCCCCCTCTATAACCCCCCAAGCACATCCTCCAGCACAGTTTTCAGCATCTTGAGCTCGTAAAACTTGCCCACCTTCTCATATATAGCCAGCTTCTTCTCTACATCCGCGCGCTTCATCTCCCCCACCCATTCACCACTGCACGAGCAGTGCTCCATAAAATCATTAATCCTCACCCCGCTACACTTGACACACTTCAGGTCCTGTGTCGCCCACTGAGTCACCAGTGCCTCCACATCCGCAATCATCCGCTGCTCAAGCACAATCCGCTCATACTCCGTCCCGCAGTACCCGCACTTCCAGGGTCGGGACTCACCCGCGGCACCCTCGTCAGGTACTAGGTCCGCGTCTCGGCAAAAATCTAGGTCGCGCGCCATCGTGCAGGTGTCACAGATGACCTGCTGGAAACGGAGCGAGGACGAGGGGTTCACGAATGTCGCCTCGGAGCTGAACTCGCGCACCTCGAAGAGCATGAGGAGCTCCTTGCGAAGGAGCCGCGCCTCAAGCATGATATTCTTGTCCAGTGAGAGGACCTGCATCAAAGACTTGACAAGCTGCAGGGCCGGGTTGGTAAAGGTGAGATGGGAGCCCGGGAGCGACGGGAAGCGGTAGTCCATGACAAGCTCCGGGTGGAGCATCTCGTCCTTCTGTCGGCGGATGAGCTGCGCAATTTGTCGCTTTAGGGGCCTCTCAAAGGTTTTGCCCAGCACGACCTTGTCTGCCTTGTCTTCACCGAGCGCGCGGACAGGGAGGAGAGTAGGCCGGGGCGTGGCGTTGGGGTCTTCGAACTGCGGCCTCTTCAGTCCGTGCATCAGATCGATGAACTGAATAACCCAGTCATTGAAGATAGGCTGCATTGGCTCGGGCAAGAACTTTGCAAGCTGCCAGTGCATGATGCACTCCAACGTCTGGTTCTCAGCTTCGACGACCTCCTGACAGCCCTTCCCACCGTAGTTGAACTCGTCGTACCAAACCAGGTAGTCCCAGTATTCCTTGATCTCCAATTCCAGAAAATGGAAAAGCGGCTTCGACTTGATCGATTTGAGGATATACTGACTGTACGCGTACGCATTTCCGACCTCAGCTTTCGTAGTTTGTAGCAGCAGGCGGTTGGCATCAGCAAAAACGACGTGAGAGCCAACACGGCGGAAATCGGCCATAAGTTGCTGGAACGCCTTGCGCGACATCATCTGCACATAGTAGTGTAGAGAGCGGTCGTACATAAAAGAGTTGGGGCTCTCGACCCAGCGCAGTAGATGCAGAACCATCATGTCCGCCATTGGGCTGCCCTTGCATGCCTCTGTCCACCAGGCCTTCACCATCTCTCGCAGTACCGTCACACCTGCTCCAGCGAACGCATTGTCAGAATACAAGACATTCGCTCCATCGGTAGGTGCGTCATCTTGGGGAGCAGCAGGATTGAAGGTTACTGAATCTGTAGAACCTTCCAGATCGTTGATCAGAGACGAGGTCAATATAGTATTGATCGCCAGGTTTCGGACATCAATCTCAATGCAAACAGAAGAATATGTCCCTGGGTTGTTGACAGTGGGCATTTGAACCGTCTCCAGCGGCCCCAGTACATCGTCCTTCTCATAACCCGCATGATCAGGTCTTGGACCACTTGACCACCAAAGCACAACATTGTTCTTCTCTAGCCTCCTGGCGTAAGCGATATCGATCAAGAATCTTGGATCGTCACGCTCCAAATTGCAAAGTGGCACATCGCCGTATCTCGCCAGGTTCGTGAGTTCGGAGATCCATGAGCCAAGGTTAAGGTAGTTGTTGATGATGCGCTTTGCAATGAATGCTTGCCACCCAAGAGGTGGGAACGAGACATCCTTTTTGTCGTGCTGAAGCGTTAAGACTGGGAAGTCGGCAAGTACTGGCATATCATGCAGAAGCATACGTTTCTGTGGAGATTGAATCACGAGCATGAGTGGTTTCGTTTCATCGTTCTTGATCTTCTTCACCAAGTCGCCCACTTCAAGGAGTGCCTTGCGCTTGGTGGATACAACCTTAGTAGTGAACTGTATCTTGTCTTGGTAATCAAAGCAGTCTTGCCATGCCTTGCCTTCCGCCTCGGAAAACCGTTTGGCCAGGGCGTCCGTGTATATTTTGGCGATATTCGGAAGCTCTTGACTCTCTCTGGAGTTCTGAAGGATAACGATGTGCGCTTGGTCCCTCGCACTCGAAAATATGGCGAAGATTTGGCGTTCGCCTGCCACAATATGGTACAGGTAAAGGTATGCCATCGGAGAGTCGGTCAGATAGGGGTTCTTTGCCACAGATTGCTTCAGTGAGGACAAGTCAAACCCATGCTCAAGACCCTTACCAAGGACACCAGATTGAGTATCGTCAAACGTGCACAGGGTGCCGAGTTGCAGTAAAGCGCGGACATCCAGGGGTACTTGTTTCTCATAAACTCCTTCGACACTTGGGTGGTTGAAGAGTAGTGCGAGCTTTCGGGCTTCATTGACGTACACATCCTCCGACATTGTGAGCTTGAATAGATGCACTGAAGGATGTCCATTCGGGAGAGTGTGAGACACCTTCTGGGCTGAGCATCCCTCAATATCCACATCTGGCAAATCCTTTCCTTTCATATTCAGAAATAGACTGCGTGGTACTTTCACTTTGATGGTGTGGACCTTGTTATCAATCAACACATGTGCCAATACTGTGCCCGGGCTTTCAGTGCCACTAAGCTGCAGCACCTGCCAGGTGCTCCTGTAAACAAGCTCGGCTTGGACTCGGAAGGTAGCTCCAATATCACTAGAGGCAGCGGCCCGCGTCTCACCAAAGAGATGTCGACGACGAATCCGCGCCTGCTTTTGGATCTTCCACTTCTGCTTTTGATACTTTAAGAAGCCAATATAGTCTTCTGTCGGATCAGGCATAGTCTTTGGCAAAGCGGCGAAAGGGTCAACTGATACCGGAACTGCAGGTTCGGGCGACTTTCGCTTCTGTGGTTTTGACTGAGATGACAGAACCAGGTTGGCTATGGTTTTCGGCTTCAATATTTGCGTTCCGAAGTCTTCCAGATCCCCGAGAGTCTGGTCCTTCAGGTTTGTAATATCTTCCAGCGGTTGCTTAGCAAACAGATCAGTCATCTTCTTCTGCTTCATCTTGTCGTCCTTGGTGTTAATTCGTCGTTGAAGCCATTCCGGATGCGCAACTCTTGGGACGGGGTTGCGGACTTTTTGAAGCGCGGCAGGAATAGTAATGAGCTTCTGGATGACAGACCCGAGACGGTCAAGATAGTAGTTCCAGTCCAGTAGTGCTCTAGGATCCATATTCTCGGGGTCTTCCTTGAGCCACTTCCTTAGGTAGTAGCGCTTGACTGATGTTTCTGCAGAAAATATAGCAACCGGAATAGCGCGCTCAGTAACCGGAGCAGACTTGGGCCTTGCGCAGATAATATACTTGCAGTTCAACCCCTTATCCTTGATCATCTGCTCTCCAAGGAAATCTGCCAGTCGCTTTGCTGTTGTGATAGACGTCGACTTCTGCGTACCATATTCTGCAAGCGTCTTTGACATACTCCTGTTTTCGCAAATAAGGTCAATGAGCTCCTCATCCGCGAGTGTTTCACCCTTTGAGTGCAGCACGTCAAGCCACCTATTGGCGACCTTGGCTACTGCGGCATAAGTCTCGGCGAGTGTTGTCCCCTCCAGGAAGAACTTAAAGATTTGCTGCTGGAAGATCTTGATCAGCTTCAGCTCTCCTCTTCGCTTGACTTCGAATCCCTTCAGCTCTGCCAGACTTCCGTCATCGTTGAATACTGCATAACGCTTCTTCAAGTTCTTGTCTTCCTCTTTGGATGTCGGCAACACCATGGCCTTATATGGACCATCGACTTCGAAGAAGATAGTGTTGTCGCTGTGTGTCTCGTATCTGAAGGTTGCAGGGTCCTTGAGCGTCTGGTATTGGTGGTTGGTAAACTTGTCGTGAACAAGATGGTTCAACATGACACAGGGGTAAGAAATAGTAAACTTCTTCCCATTCTTCATGGTAAATCCGTAGTTCTCCGGGAATGTGGCGGGAAGCATGCACCAAATACCATCCGTGTCGAGTTCCAGGGGTCGACCAATCCTCTCAACCAGCTGACGTGCCATCTGAATGATGTGGGCTCCAGTCAAGCAAGTAACACCAGCCATTTCCATAGAATACCAGCGAGAACCTTTTCTCATGACATATCCATAGAAGGAGTTCAGAATAACCTTGTGGGCCAATTGCAGCGAGTCGAACAGAATAATCATCTTGTTGCCATTATCGATGTCCGCTTGGGATGCGCCTGAAGATTTCAGTGCGTCCGTTTTCCCCTTCCAAACCTTGTGCTGGCCTTTATATTCGTACCGACGATCTCTGAAATCTCTGACTGTATTGATGTAGAACGGATTCTCACGCTGACAGATAATCGCTTCTCTCTCGATTGTCGTCGAATCGTGAATTTTGTGATAGATCTTTTGACTGTATATTTGCAACCGCTTCCTCACCAAGGCAGATTGTTCATCAGCTGGTAATTCTTCAAAAGTCCTCGCGGGGCTATTTGGCCATTTCCCGGGAAATTTCTCGTTTTCGAGCGAGTGCCGGATCATATTATACTCATTGCGTTTGGCGGGTAGGTATTCTCCACGCCATGCCCATGGCATTCTCCTGTCACAGGTCTTACCTGGACGATTGAAGTCGCATGCTGCGCAATCTGACTCGCTGATCATAGAATCGGGTTGTAGCCGATTGGTCGTCATAATATTGGGATACATAGCGGCAACATCCAAATGGTAAATAAGGGGTCGTTCGCTTCGGTTCGCTGTCGCCTTCAAGCTTATAAGGCGGTCAGTGATTTGCTGCTTGACTTCGTCGTAGTTGGTAATATCGTCCAGGTTCTTCTTCTCCTCGACAGTGATACTGAATTTAAGAGCAGCATCGAGGTCTGCCAAGAGCTCATCGATGGCCGTGGTGTCAACAGCAAAATTGACCGGAATATCCGCCCTGAAAACACCAGCCTCTATACTCTCGACGTGACCACCAACGTAAGTCTCCGACTCGAGAAGATGGCCATCCCAGAAAGACTCTTTCGGAGTTACGTGCTTATTCGGAAGGACGATCTCTTTTTGATATGCTTCAACCATCAGAAGCATTTCGCATAGAGTACCAGTTCCCTTTCTGAGGACCGCGTCTGGTCCTAAAGGAATAATAGTACACAGTGAGAAGATGAAGGGATGCACGTATTTCATGTACAGATAATACGTCGCCACCGCATCGGAGACGGAATATTCTGATAACGTTTGCGGCCTTTCGCTCGCATACTGAAGCATCAGTTCCGGGTCGAGCTCATCTGGATCGTACCCAAGCTTTGCAACCGTCACAGCTTTCAAGCCTCGGCTTCCCTGTGGCAAGTAACTGTCGCGGTTGACCCAGTGAAAACAATCCATGTGCACACTGTAGTTGCATTGGTACTGATCTTCACTGTCCTTCTTCCAGCCAATTTCCTGGTACATATCTATGCCGTTGACACTGGCCCTGGCGTCGACGAATGGCCAATCAAAGAAATCTCCGTTGTATGTCGCTATTACTGTTGGCCTTGCCTCCTTAATGTGTAGGAAAAAGCGCTCTATCAGCGCCTTCTCGTCCGGCTCGTTGAAGATCATAAAAGGCCCTTGGTATTCCGGCTTAGGCGTATATTCGAAATCGTCAATATCCTCGGAAACAATCTCTCGATTTGTGATGAGAAAGCCCTGCCCGTCAATCATATACGATATCATCATAATCTGATCGATCGAGGCATCTGGAAATTTCAGGGGTAATTTTGTCGTCTCGATATCGTAGGCCATGATGACTGGGTCTGCTCGCTGCAACCTCTCTGTGATGCATCTTATCGACGTATGCCCATGCTTTGCTTCCACTTCATACCACTTTCCGACTCTGATGTCTAAATCGATCAGGACCCGCACATGATATGGTACATCATATTCTCTAATGTCAACAATGAAATCGCTCGCATCCACAATCGTCGTATTAAGTTGTTTATCGTTATCTCGTGAGTCGTCGTCAAAAAGGTCAAAGCCTGCATTCGCGCTGTATCTCATTAGCATATGTTACGCTCGGCTCTTCTCCCCCGTCAAGGTTTACTAACCTGGCGACCTCCGCATATGTATCCATAGCATTCATCTGCTTCTTATTCTTCTCTGCGATGGGAATCACATCCCTCCTCGCCCTCAAAAGGTCCTCCTGGTTTACAAACCGAAGCTCAAGAAACGTCCTCCTGTAGCCAAGCAAATGATTCGGCATCTGCAAGTCCTCCTTCTCCACCCGTCGCACACTCTTCACACATCCTCCTCCAGCTACCCGCTTTAGCCACTCCTCGGCTTCTGGCTCGTAGCCCCTCTTCACCGCGACCAGAAAGTAGGGCTCAAACTCCACAGCCGCCTTGAAAGTGCCACCATCGTCCTCGAGAAAGTATAAGTCGAGCGCAGACCGGCCGCCTGGGTTGTTGTCGTCTTCTAATTCCGTGGCCTGGAGATTTACAAGCCAGCCCGTCTTTTTTCTTCCGCTCTCATATCGTGCAAACTCCATTGCCTCGTCGACAGCGTTCGCCAACTTAGTGGCTTCGCGCTTTTCGTCTGCGGAGGTTGCCTCATTTCGACTTGACGCCGCGAAGGTTTTCGTTCGGCTGCCATGGTATGCTTGTTTTCCGCCGCGGCGGTAGCCATTCTGTGGCCGGCGAGTGCCCGCCATTTTCTCGTTCTTGCTCTGTCGAGCTGCTGAAGACCCGTCGAATGGGGAGGTGGTTATGTTGGAGTCGCCAGGGTATAAAATGCAGGTAGAAGAATAAAAAAGAAATGCGAGACCACAAAAGTAACCATTTGTCGCCGTAGAGAAGTTTACTACTCAGACGGGCAACAATTGTCAAAATGAATAGTTAAGTGCTGTCGTCTGTAGTGGTCCCTCCAACAGCCAAATTGGGTTTCTCAGCACTGGTGTACGCGCGACGCGTCGTGTAAATCACTTTACGCGCCCTACGATTGGGGTCCGTGCACAAATAAAGTATAACGAGCTAAGCCAAATAAAGCAATATGTACCTCAATCCACATCATATGTGCCTCGGAGCTTCATCATTCCCCCACGACCAGCACAATGTCCGACGACAAAGGAGCCAAACGGCAATCACACCCTGCGGATCCGCCGCCGGGCGCGACTGCTCCCCCGGAGCATGTCGACAAACCCAAGATCTACGAGGTCTTCGACGGCACATCGACGGCAAACGGACTTCCGGAAGGCTATGGGCAAAATTCAGCGGGCAGAAGACCACAGAATGTGAGCCTGACGGACGCTGCGAAGACGGTTAAAGTGGAGGATTTCAAAAATATACATACATATCCATGCGTACGGGAGAGTCTCCTCACTAGCATTGGCAGCGCCTTTGCAATTGGTGGAACAAGGATGCTATTTGGCAGTACGTTTTTAAGCCGGAAATAACCCAGTCCACTGGCCATACTGACAAGAAACAGCGCCGATTGTTAGAGCATGCAACTGGACAGCGGGAACCTTCTGTTTGGTGGGGATTGGCTCATACGAATTCTGTCTCCAGAAGAGGCGGTTGGAGAAGATTAACATGAAGAGGGCGGTGGAGATTATTGACCGCAAAAAGGCCCAGAAAGAGGCTGAAGCGGAGCAGAAGCGAAAAGAGAGGAGGAGGAAGAAGGAAGAGGAAGATGCGGCTGTTGAGGCAAGGAAGAGGAGCAATTGGAAATTTTGGTGATAGGAGGGTCTTGGACGGACAAATGTATATAGTAAGTGTACAATATCTATATGGGGTTCGGTAGGCATGTATACACGATCTTAGTGTTGGGAGAACAAATTAGACGGCATAAGCAAAAGCTATTGATTTTGTCTGTGGCATCAACGGCAATGACAGGCACATTTCATTGAGTTGGGTTTTCACAAGATGCAGTTCTCAGAAACACAGCAATTCCAGCTCTGACATTGTATGACACTAAACGACGAAGTCTTGTTAGAGCGCCAGTTACTAATCTACTCGTCGCTCCATCCGCGGTACACTGTTCGGCTTCCATACACCTCTCCCTTCTTCAACAAGACCTGTCCCTTCCACTCATCAACATTGATAGCGTTAACGAACCGGCTGGGCTCGACACAGAAACCGCTTCTAGCGCCTCTGGCCGGAAGCCCTTCAACCGAAGGAACGTCGATGTACTTTCCAGTGTAGAACTGGAAGGAGGGTTCGGTTGAGAGCACCTCCAAATGGATCTTAGTCCTTGGGTGGTATGCTGCGACCAGTTTCCTCAGAGCTTGGTCTCTCGTATCTATCGGGATGGAGTTCGGTGGTGCGTCGAAAACAAAGCAATCGTCGACATCAGGCTCGGTAACCCCCAAGGTAGCCTTGCTGAGGTCGGCCGCATCGTACACTGTTGGGCCGCCAGTTGGGATTCCGTGCTCATCGACTGGCAGGTATAGCTTGGTGCTGAGCTCAACATCGGTACCTGCGATGGTTGGCTCTCCGGAGAGGTTGAAGTATCTGCAAATCATGTTAATTCCTTTTTTTGCAGCAATAACATTATCAGAACTCACGAGTGGTTTGTCATGTTAATGACGGTCTCATCGGCACCGCCAACAAGCTCGGCCTGGTACTCCATAGCCAAGACATTAACTTCCTTTCCCTCAGGAGTCAGTTGCGTGCCTGCTGTGTAGATAACCGAAACCTCCAAGTCTCCTGGGAAGCCCTCCTCGCCGTCGTGGCTCTTAAGTGTGAACTTGACACTCTCTCCGCCTGTAAGCTTTCCGCCTTCCAGTCCTGGAATCTCCCTTTGTCCAACGGGAGTAGGTCCTGCCCACTCACGCTTTCCCCATCCGATATCGCCACCGTGAAGGCTGTTTGGTCCGTTGTTCGCGGCCAAAGCGTATGATTTCCCGTTCAGAGAGTCAAGCTTCGCGCCCTTGATCCTGTTGGCGACGCGGCCAATAGTTTCGCCAAAGAAAGGGCCATTGTGCTTTTGGTACAGCTCGGCGGTGGGGAAGCCCTGGACAATATTGGTCTTTCCGACGTTGAATGTCTGAATAATTGCTCCGAGGGGTAGGAACTCAAAGGCTGCGGGGGATGCCATGGCTATGATTGTGATAAAACAACTCAACAACTTATTATTTCTGGATGAAGTTGACAAGGTTTGAGCAAACAATCAGAGCGTTACAGGAATTCAGTGAGGAATGAACTGGTATAATATGCGCAATGCAGGTAAGCACGTCAGAAGTGCTAGAAATCTGTATGTAAATAGCGATACCCCCACCATAGCTCCGTCTTCAAATCAGGCTGAGTACAACGACCCCGCACACCCGCGAATCCGCTGACGACGCTACGCCGGAGCTACTCCGGGTCATGTATTTCCGGAAACTATGCCACAGAACGCACGCTATACAGTAAATAATAGGAAAATAATATCATATTGTGGAGAAGCTAGCACGGCCAATTCTGCTAACCCCTCTCTACGGATATTTTCGAACAACAGAGGCTTTGAAATACCTCTGGTAGCGTTGAAGATCAAAGGTTCCCTCCTCGAGCTCTCTGCTATCAGAATCCCCTGCCCACCAGAAGGTTCTACAGCCACTCAAAACCTCCTCGCTACTCAATTCAATATCGCACGCACACCAAGTATAGGCGGAGGTCTCATACTCCTTCAACCGGAGGAAATGTGATTCGGTGTTGACTCTCCACATTGACCCCGAAACTCTCCCGCCTTCGTGTGGTATAAGTGCTGGATACATACCCCACATTTTCATAGAAAACCCGCAAACAGATCCGCTTTCAAAAATAGGCGCCTCTGGAAGTTCAAGAACAGCCTGTAGAACTTCAGGGTCCATGAGGGAGCCATAGAAGAAGAAGGGGCATGGTTCAAATGGACGCTCGGCGTCTTTGGAGGCGAACACTGGCCGCGTCGCCGGTTCTAACTTCTTCGACCTTACAGATATAGTTGATCTCAAAGAATTGGCCTTTGGGTTCGGGGGAAGAGGAGGAGGCGAAGGGATCACTGTCTCTTGGATCAGCTGTGCCATTTTAAAGTTGCACAACGTATCAATGTGTTTGCTCTCTCACTACCATTGGCAAGCATCAATAGACGTTGAATGGTGCATCGCATAGTATATGCCAATCGAGGTCAAAGTATGGCTAGGCTACAATGTAAGTTGTGATCTTGCTCCAATAGTACTCGTGAATGGCCCCCTTGAGAAAGTGACAACAGGTCTGTTAGTTGAAGCATATGTATAGTCCTGGATTTGACCAACTCCTCGCCTTATCTTATCGTACGTGTCAAGGGGTCGTGCCTCCAGAACAAGGCTACGCCACAAGGCTGACTCTTTCTCCCAATAATGAGAGAGACCACAACTCTCATGACCATCACAATTGATATCGGGTCCTCAGCCTGTAGTCACATCTCCGACTTGGCATCCTGGATATGGGTAGCTATACCGTCTCTATACGAGCACCATCTATTCACTTGTGAGCGAAGTGTTTAGAATCACGCTGTGTGCCACAGATTCAAGCTAGAAGCGAAGAAAGACCGCCGCCCATCCGCCAACTGTCACCTGCCGTTTTCATTTAAACGGCCGGCAAATTACTCATCTTCAACAACACCTCGCGCGAGGCTCTCGGGGTTGTTGCGATCCTGCTGAGGTGATCATCATATTCAGGTTCTACCACATAAATCTGTTGTGTTGGGCTCAAGTAAGCCTCATGCAGTATGCCGCTTTACCCCGCCGCACCGTCACCTAAACGGAAACGAGATGAAAAGCCACATTCGCCACAGCAGAGAGTCACTTCGAGACGGTTATATACACTCCCAGAAAAGTTAATGTCGTCTTCTGGAGAGGATATCGAGACGGGGGTTGAGACTCCACGGTCCAGGGTAGCCCATAGCTTTGGGGAGCTGCAAATAGAGGGAACTGGTGGGGTCAGCAGGCTGGACCTGCTTGGGACGTTTGGGGCATCATCGAAAGTTGACAACGGCGAATCCAGAAAGCAAGTCAAATCTGCTCAGAATGGATTAAAAGAAATCCCAGAGACACCCCAGGTCTCCTCCAATATAGTTTCAGGCCCGGCTGGTGCTATACGGTTTGATATGAAGGCCGCATTTGGCAGCCAGCAAAACAACATAATATTCACAGGCGCCAACTCTACCAGTACCCCAACTACACTCACTACAACGCTTCCTAGTCGCCCAAGTCATAAGCTACCGGCCTCTCCGCCTTCGCCTGATCCTCCACCCCAGCAATTCTCGCCGGCGCCCTCGCCTCCTGTCACTCCTATGACATCACCCTCTCAGGAACCTCCATCGCTTCACTGGGAAGAGTCTGAAATTACTGGTCACAACCCAAGTGATCCAGATGATGATGGCGAGGGTATTAACGGCGTCGGCTTCAAACCCACCGCTGCTATTGCCCGGGCTCGTTCCGAGCGCCGCCGCAAGCAGTTGGCTGACTATAAGTCCCGTGAAGATAAGGAGGCCAGAGATGCGAGGGCTAAGAGGGCCGCACTGAGGAGGCGAAAGGGGAGTGAAGGTGTGGCTGTTAAGACCGAGGAAAGTCAGGTATCGGAGAAGGAGAGAAGGGTGAGGTTCTCTGAGGCCGAAAGAGCGATCGATGTGCTCTGAGAGTCTTCTGGGCTTTTTGAGGTTGGAAAGAAATTGAGATTATGAATATATGTCTGTCTTGGTTTTAATCGCATTATTTTGCATCAGAGGGCTTGGATGGGGGTCTAGGAGCTGAGTTATAATATTCATATAGCGCGGCGTTAAGCTGGAGTTGAAGCAGCTATTGCGTTGGTTCCGTTTAGCATTTATAAGCTCAACTATTTAATTTGATTACTACGGATTCATACCATTAGAAATATTCCATAATCTTTCTTTCCACATCGAGCGATATTATGATATGCACCTGGCTTATACGACCCCGCATACGTCACAATGCGGGGTTGGTTAGTGTAACAGCTGACAGGCGATGCCATGATCAAGAACCATAATATCAGTCTTATAGAGCATCAAAATATAAACATATTCCATATCCATCTATAGCTCCCGAACAATACAATGTCATCCGACAAGAAGACAATAATAGCATTCGACCTCTACGGCACCCTCCTCTCCACCGACTCCATCGCCAAAGAACTCTCAAACCACTTCGGCGATGATAAAGCAAAGAACCTCGCCGCATTATGGCGCCGCTATCAACTCGAATATACTTGGAGATTAAATAGCATGTGTTAGGCCCCCTTTTTCCGGCCTCTGTGGCTCTCATGTACTAAAACAATCCAGCAATATACAAAGACTTCAGCTCCGTAACCCGCGCATCCCTCACCCACGCCCTAGCAGAGTCACATCTCTCCCTACCATCTACAGCAATCGACTCCCTAATGCGCGCCTACGACTCTCTTGATCTCAATCCCGACGCCGCTCCCGGGCTAATCTCCCTCCAGTCCTCTACAGCAATAGACGCGTACATCTTCTCCAACGGCAGCCCCGCCATGCTCAAAGCGTCCGTTACAAAGTCGCTTTCCCTAGCCCAGTTCCAAGGCATCTTCCAGGACATCGTGAGTGTAGAGGAAGTCAAGGTGTACAAGCCTCATCCAAAGGCGTATCATCATTTGGCGGGGAGGGTGGGGAGAGGGGATCTGGAGAGTATTTGGCTTGTTTCGTCGAATCCGTTTGATATTGTTGGGGCGAGGGCGGCGGGGTTGAAGGCTGCGTGGGTGGATCGGCAGAGTTTGGGGTGGATTGATGGGCTGGGGGAGTTGGTGGGGGGGAAGGGACCGACGGTTGTTGTGAGGGGGGTTGATGAGGCTGTGAAGGAGATTCGACGGCAGGCGGGAGATTTATAGTTTGGGAGATATGAATGTAGTCAAACCAAAAATTGAATTGAACTCTGATAACAATAGGAGTTTGTATCATATCTATTCGTAATTATATCTATATTTGCGTACCTTCATGGTGGAGGTACCCTTAACCCTGCCTTCGACCCAACACCAGCCTGACTTCGTTATAAGTCAAATTCTTGAAGCGCAACTCCTCGAGGACCCCCGTCGCCCCCGCATTGCTAGCAAATGCGCGGTCAGATGCATCAGTGAAGGACATAAGTCCATCCTGTGCTTTCTCCGGGAGATTTAGCAATGTTGCCGCCTCGCGAAGCTTTGGCATCCCCAAATCCGATGACGAGCCATCAGTGATGTAGTTATCGATCAATGACAACATAGCACTGAGGTCACGGTAGAACTGAGCAGCTCCATTTCTAGTGAACTTCTCGCGCATGAGGACATCGCGCCATAGGGACTCTCCCAGGAATTCGAAAACCTCGCCGAATATGCGGCGGAATGTGGCCGTTGCTACTGCGTTGTGGAGGAAGGACATATCTCTTTCCAAGGTCTGTAGTGGAGCTTCAAATTCTGCCGTAATGTTCATTGGGGCTTGTACGCCTGTATTCAATTAGTATTTAAAAGTCCCGTGTGGGAAAAATGTATCTTACCAGCTTCCGAAATATCCACTGTTAACCAGTTGGGTTTATTAGTATATGCTCTTAAAGTAGCCGGCAGCGAATGTTTGATAGACTCCGTCATGAGTAGCTGGGCGTGGTCCCGCTGCTTTGTATATGCGCTTACTGTCTCGTCAAATACGGCACCGTCGCCATCAGAGCCTACTGATACTGATGTACTGTTTCTCACGGCTTCGTAGCTCATAGCTTCAGCCAAGTTATCGCCCATACTCCTTTTCTTAGCACGCTCTTGGAGCTCAATCCACAGGCCTAGGAAGAACTGAGATTATGTTAGTATGATGTGTGGTAACGTAATATCTGTAAAGAGCCTTACCAGGTCATTGCTCCAATCATTCAAGGTGTTGATAACATGATCTGAGCTTCCGTAGACTTTGCATAGACTCTCTAAGCCGCCAGTTCCTTCCATTTGTGCTTGCTGTTCCTTTGTCACGCCGTGCAATGCTCGTCCAACAGTAGAAGTTATAGCAATATAGGCATCCAGTGAATCTTTCAGGAGGCTGTGATATTCGTCAAGAATCCTGATCTGGATATCAATAACAAATCTCATCTGAAACGAGAATTTGGGCAACCCCTGGTATTGCTTGGTCACATTCCCAAGCAGATCCATGACCTTCGAAGCGCCATAGGTAGCCTTTGTTGTATTTGGGCCAGTGCTGTCATAATCAATCCTTGAGTTGTCATTAGACTCAATGATGCTTTTATATCTCATCACAGCAAAATCCTTCTCCACCTCCAGCCACCTAAGGAACCATTTGTCGAGAACTTCCCGCGTGAGGCCTTTCCAGCCTTTCTTCGAATTTCCACCATCGTAGTTGAATTTCAATCGTATATCTTCGTCGAACTTCATAAGTGAGACCATAAAACTGCTCAAAACCGAGGGTTCGTTGGCTATCGAAACCAGGAGCGTATTAACCCTCTCGCGCACCACAGGAAGGAGCGCTGTAATAAATGCGGCAACTGGGTCATTGTAGGAACGATTTGTTGTCACTGTGCTGCCGAAATGTGACATCAGGATTGGCCCAACATTGTCAATCAAATAATCTTCACGACTTTCAACCAGCTCCACCACCCATTGTAGAAAGTAAGCTGGGTGGAGCTTAGTGTTGCTGGCTTTGGTGCCCATGAAGTGATACCGGAATTGCTGGACAAAAGGTTTAGTCAAGCAAGCCATCGGCAATAAGACCATTGGTTGCCGGGCAGGGGCGTTGAGAATCTCCGGTGTTTGGAGCTCAAGCAGTCGTTGAAAGCTAGCTGTCCATGCTTCTGTAGGAGTCTCGCTGGCTGTAGGCCAATCTGTTTTCTTCAGAACACCCTCAAAGTTGTCCACCATCACTTGTTTCATCTCAGACCAGAGTATATTTGCTCTCTTTTCGACATGAGTTACAAGATGCCCAGCTGCATCATCGGCAGGTGTCTGCAGGCGACGTAGCGAGATAGAAAGTTCCTTCAAGCGGGCATATGGCTTCAGAGCCTCTTTCGGGTGCTCAGGGAGGAAACCCCGCGCTTCTTTGGCGAGGCTGTCGACCTCTTGGAGCATTTCCACATAGTAGTATGCGAGGTCGAGACGTCGAAGCTTCTCTATTGGAGCTTTGAATCTTTGCACCGCTTCATCAGGGGCGTCTGAGGCGGTAACTATGGTGAGCCGCTTATCTATTCCCGACTGGATATCTTGGAAAGCTTTTGTTCGCTGTAATAGTGTATCGCTATGTGTGGCGGCTGCTTCGTTTGATTTGGCAAGCTTGGATCGAGCGTCTTGGAGCTGTAAGGGAGTTTCAGCATATAGATTTTATGGGGAAGCTTCAGCCATATTCAGGGATATTGCTACTAACCTGGCTCAGCAATTGTACTCGCTGTTCTTCGACATTGGCAATCAATGAATCCAAATTCTGGAAATCCGCAGCTGTTTGTAGCTTGTCGTTCAAATAGTCATCGAGGCGGATGTCGTGTTCTCCTTCGGAAATATTGCTACTATTCCTCACTACCGCAATGGGGCTTCTCTCATTTCTAGCCACTGAAGCTGATGCCATGGCGTTGAGTTGCAAAATAAGTTAATTGTGCATCGTGTTCTCTACCCCAGATTCGAAGCTTGGGTTGGTCGTAGCGGGGCGGAATAATGACGGGTCCCGGCGGCACCACAGGTCCCCTGCAAGTCGCGTACTCATCGCGATCTCTTGCCTATGACGTCCCTAAATGCACCGTCATGTACAAAGTGGAACAACGACACAGGTACGACAACTTTCCATGTCTTCAGAGTAGCTTGACATACGTGTGATCCGGCCATTTTAGCCAGGCGACACATGGATGTCAAATACGGTCAATACAGCTTGCGAGAGCACAAGGAGGCTCATGGCATATGCGCCTTGTCAGAGTGGCTACTGGAGACCAGATGAATTAAGATCATGAGTTGGAACCTCAAATAATGGCGCCCCCTGCAAAGCGACCAAAGCTCAGCAATAGTAGCAAATCTTCGCCGGCGAAGCAAAGAGGGCTAGATTATTTCTTCAGTAAACAGAAGGGAGGGTCGCCAGCCAAATCCAGCCAAAATCACCAGGATGCGCAGGCAGAAGATACCACGACTGAGCTTACCGACGAGCAGTTTGCTAGGAAGCTTCAAGCTCAATGGGATGAAGAAGATGCGGGGTCATCGACAGTCGCCGTGCCGAGACAAGACGATATAGGCTCTCCCTTTGTGGCGTCGGAGCAGCTGAATTATGATGTTCCAATAACAGACACCGATAATGCTGAACAGAGGCAAGACAATAAGGCAGGCGAAAGCCCTAGGACTGTGTCTACGGTGACGAGCTCGTTTATGAGCAAAGACAGCGGCTCCAGCAATCAGGCCCTCAAAGTCAAGAATAGCCTGGCTCTACAATCCGGTGTCTCGGAAGAGGATTCGATATCCAGTGGCATTTGTTTTGACGAAAGTCCTCTCACATTTGATCCGCATAAATATCTCCCGGACCTTCAAAAGCAGTGGGCTGGGCACGGGGGTAATGCATCCTATGCCCTAGTCATTAGATGCTTTGTTCTAGTGAATAGCACGCAAAGTAGGATTAAGATCGTGGACACTCTAGTCAACCTACTGAGAACCATCATTGAAGGGGATCCAAGTAGTCTGCTACCTGCTGTATGTATATCTTCCACAGGTTGTCTCCTATCTACCGGGCCATGTATTGTAGCCCCCTATTCGGGCCCAATGTCAGTCTTTGGTATCGCATTTTCGGTAGAACCCGTTCTAACAGGTAGTAGGTATGGCTTGCCACAAATGCAATATCCCCACCCTATATATCTCTTGAACTTGGTCTGGGTGGCTCAGCCATATCCAAGGCGTTAAAACAAGCATGCGGTTTAGATAGCAAATCTCTCAAGGCACTCTATAATAAAGTTGGCGACGCTGGGGACGTGGCATTTGAAGCAAAGAAGAGACAAACCTTTACTCTACGAAAACCAAAACCTCTGACAATCAAAACGGTCTACGACTCTCTCGTCCAGATAGCAACGGTTCAAGGCACAGGTAGTGGTGAAAGAAAACAGCGCATTGTCGATAAGTTATTACAAGATGCCAGGGGCCCCGAGGAAAGCCGATATCTTGTTCGAACGCTATGTCAGCATCTTCGCATTGGAGCAGTCAAAACTACGATGCTTATAGCGTTGTCGAGAGCGTTCACTTTGTCACGGCCGACAAATGCAGAATTTCCATTGAGGTCACAGGCGGAGCTAAGTGCGCTTAAGAAAGAATCCTTAGCTGAAGTATGGTCCAAAGCAGAAGAGATCGTGAAAGCTTGTTTTGCAAAAAGGCCCAACTACAATGACCTCGTTCCCGCACTTCTTGAAATTGGGGTGTGTGACGAGCTTCTTGTCAGGTGTGGCCTTGGGCTCCATGTGCCTTTGATGCCTATGTTGGGCAATATCACTCGCGATCTGTCCGAAATGCTCACAAAGCTTCAGGGTCGAGACTTTAGTTGCGAGTTCAAATATGATGGGCAAAGAGCGCAAGTGCATTGCGACGCCAATGGGAAGGTTTCGATTTTTTCACGCCACTTAGAGCTCATGACCGACAAATACCCAGACCTCGTCGCATTGATTCCCAAAATCCGCGGTGATAGCGTAAATAGCTTCATTTTGGAAGGGGAGGTAGTCGCTGTGGATCGAGAGACCGGTGATCTCAAGACATTCCAGACGCTCACGAATCGCGCTCGAAAGGATGTGGCTATTGGAAGCATTAAAATCGATGTTTGTCTTTTCGCATTTGACCTCATGTATCTCAACGGTGAGCCGTTGTTGAATAGGCCGTTTCGAGAGCGACGATCCCTGCTAAGGAGTCTCTTTGTA